GAAATGGCTTCACACTGACAGAAGGCAGTGTTAGATGGGATATTGGGAAGAAATTCTTCCCTGTGAGGGTGGTGAGGCCCCGGCACAGGTTGCCCAGAGAAGCTGTGGCTGCCCCAGGCCTGGAAGCGTTCAAGGCCAGGTTGGACAGGGCTTGGAGCAACCTGTCTAGTGGAAGGTGTCCCAACCCGTGTCAGGGGGTGGAACAAGACGATCTTTAAGGTCCCTTCCAAACCAAACCATTCCAGGATTCTACAATCTTACACAACCCACGTGGCTTCCTGGTCCCAGCATCGCCCACAGCTGGGAGGCCTCGCAGCACACCAAGGATGCCAACTTGGCACTGCACCCCTGTGTTCATCACATTCCAACTTCTTCCAGCCAGGAAAGGACTCTTCCTACTGTTTCTAAGCCATCGCAGGGCAGAGGGAGGGGGCGAGGGAGTTCGAGCCACAAATCCACAATGATTGAAGCTGCCAGCTGTGAAATCGCCATCGCGGCGGTGACAAGGTGAGGGATGATTTGCAGCAAGGCTGAGACAGGCCCCGGCGCAGGAGCCGGCACACTGTCACACCAAATAATGGCAGTCCTGGAATCACTGGACGCACAGGCCCGAGGGGAAGAGCATCTCAGTTCATCAAAACATGCAAGGAAATAGCCCAGTTTGGGTCTCACAGCATCACAGTGGCTTCTGGAGATGCACCAGTATTGGTGAAAACCTGAATGTTTCTGAGAAATGCTTTCTGAAACTGCATGCTTCTGAGCCCTCTGCTTCCCTCCCGGCTCAGGCAGAAAGTGGAAAGGACTCGTTTCATCAAGGGAACTGCTCCAAACGGCATAGGATGGCCCAGGCAGTGGGGATGCTCCCACACCAAGGCTGACCTCAGGGGTTCAGGATGGGGCATGCAGTGAAACACCAACCCCCAAGAGGAGAAAAGCCCAAGGGGACAGAGCCTCAGGCTCCAGATGCCTATGTGCCTGTGCTCAGCTATTTGGGACTGCAGGATAAGGCAGCGAAATAACCACCAGATAAAGAGCTCAGCCCTTCCACAGGCTGATAAGAGCCTCTGTTAAACCTGCTCTTTGGCTTCAGGATACGGTGCAAATTAAATATAGTTCAGTGGCTGCATTTAATTCCTCTCTTCCGTTCTTCTCTTATTAACCTGACAGAGATGGGCAGGGAGGCAGCCGGACACACAGCAGCACCCCTCCCCCAGCACCCCAACCCTGCTTTCCCCAGCCACTGACAAACAAAATCCCCCAGGGATGGTTGTGGGAGCAGCAAACAGTGTGTCCTGGTGGCTGGTGGGGTACCCCCCGACCTCGCTACCTTCTGCATGACAGCCATGGGAGAAAAGGGACCTCCACGGGGCTGATGCTGCTGAGCTGGGGCTCCAACCTGGTTCCCCCCAGGGATGTCCTTGGGCATCCACAGTCTGTGGCACCCACACTGGTGGCCTTGGGAGGGGGATGTGGGGTGACACTGGGGACTGTGGATAACCCTGGGGTGCCCTCCCCACAGGCCACATGAGTGGCAATTTGAATGTGAGCCTGAAAATAAAATACTTGTTTATCAATAAGATCACACACTGCTCAACGCCACATCCCACTTGGCCCAAATCTCATCCACAGAGGCACTTTATGTTATCCTCTGTACCCTAAAATGTGTCAAGGAAAGGAATAATTATGTCAATATAATTGTATTTCAAATGCAAAATACCATCTTCATAACACAAACTGACAAAGTTGGTCCCAACATCAGGCCCCTGGCACTCAGGGAGCTGTTAGACACCTTTGACACACGCTGTTTCAATCTAAATGTAAATCCAAGAAGCATTTCCCTCTTCCTGCAGTTCCTGGGCTGAGCACTGACTTCGTCATGCAGGATGAGTTGCAGGGCAGTGCTGGCTGTTTGTTTCCTCTGAGCAGGAAATGGGGGCAAATAAAGGAGGAAATACATTCATTGAGAAAACTCATAATATTGAGCAAATAGAGCTGCAGCTTGACAGGGGGGCTGCAAGGAGCATCCTCTGCTGTCAAATCCCTGTTGGCAACAGTAACTCTGACTCCTTCCACCAAACCAGTCAGTCACACACAGCAGGACCGGCCTGACCAGCTCAGAACCCCCGGCTGATGCATATTTTATAGCCAATAAATAAAATATGTGTTCTGCCTGGTTCCGAATACATTTCCAAACCAGATCCTCCCATTCACAATTGGTGGACAGGTCGCCCCAGAGCACAGGACTCCCGAACCCCAGCGGCACCGTCCCACTGGCACGTCAGAAGCCGTGATTTTAGAAGGCTGAGGTTGATTCCTACTGACAGGGGGCCTGGGTTAAAGGCTCTCCCAAGACAAGGGACACAGAAGTTTGCTCGGCCTTGGTCAGCACACAGCAAACCCACACAGAGCTGCTGCTCACAGCCGGACTCGTGACCCCGCCCGCAGGCTCACAGGAGGAGGCTGCTGCACGTCCCTGATGGAAGGACCGTGACAACATGAGCTAAACTGCAAAAATCACTAACTCCTGCTGTGAGTGACACAGTCAAGTGCTCAGCAGCAGGTCTGGCCGGCTGCATGCCTTTCCCTGTGGTTCATACGGACCCTCTGCACCCACCCTGGTCAAAGCCCTTGCAGCTCCCTGACCTCTCCCGGCACCACCTGCTCTCACTGCAGGGACAGTGGGGAAGGAAGAGATTTGCTGTAAAGGGGAAATATCACTGACACTTTGTGGAAATCCAAACAGGAGAAAGCCAAGGAACACAGCCCTTGGCACCTCGACACTGACACCCTGCCACTGGCACGGCTCAGCAGCAGGGCTGTCACCAAACCCAGAGCCACAGCAGGAGAGGTCAAGGCAAGAGCAGGCTCTGCACCAGCAAGGACAGTCAGCAAGGACAGGAGGAGATGTGGATGGGCTGCAGTCCTACCCTGCCCCTGCACAGCTGGCAGGTGAGACCCCTCTTTCCACCACCTCCCTGAACATCATTGCAGCTTCCTCCTGCCATTTGCACTCCAACTTTTCCAACAGCCAGGAGGAGATGCTCAAGCCCTCTGCAGCCAGGGCAGCACAAGGGGCACTGACTGGCAGCTCAACAGGACACAGGGAGAGGGGGGACATCTCAGTCAGCAGCTCCCTCCCCTTCCCCCACTTCTCCTCATCCCAGCTTTGCTTTCATTACTTCTCTGGAAAAGGATTTCTACACCCTGTTTTTCTTAAGAGGTTTTTTTTCCAATTTTGTCGCAGAAGCATTTGAAGAGAAGTTAAAAGCAAATAACCAAAATCAGCAGGGAGATGATTTGTGGGATTCTAAGGGATGCCCAGGCCAGCACCACAGAGCATCCAGGGCCGCGTCCTTGTCACCACCTTGTATTTTTGCTTGTGGTTCTGCTGTGACAACACAACCCTTGCACGCTCCCATCCACCTCAAGTGAAGTGTAATCTAATTAGTCCGATTTGGATCACTTTTCTTTAAATAATTTAGTGTACACCTGCAGTATTCATCCATCATTATTATTTTTAATTAAGTCATTAACTCGCAGGTTTTCAGAGATTTTGAAGTGACAAAATTTGCGTGGTTGAAGAGTGGTGGTGGGGGGAGGGCGAACAACACACCGTAATTGGTGTGTGAGCAGCCATCAGTGCTGATGGATTCCTAAAGAATTTACTCCTTTAAAGGCAAAGCAGAATCACAACAGCTCTAATTAGCACATACACAGCCGAGTTTTCACTCCTGGCTCCTCCATCACCCAACCTCACCTCTAAGGACTGGCTGCCTTTGATGATAATTGTCGTTACACTTCGTCAAAGTCATTAACTTTTCAAGGAAAGAGCAGCTGGAAAGACCCAGGAGCAGGCAGGGAGGGGGCTGAGGGCTGAAGAGACATCAGAGGGTTTGCTGGGACCCTGCTGGGAGCTGAGGGTTTGCCTGGGTGGGACTGTGGCATTCCCAGCGGGAGGAACAATCAGCTCTTGCTTTGCTTCTAAAGTTCACTGGAAGCACCAAAAAGAACGCTTTAAAGTTTGCAAAGGAATAAAAAAATAACTCTAAAGCTCAGGCTGTGTTGTGTTACACAGCGTGGCCATAGTGGGGCTGCAGCGCACAGATTTGCCAGCAAAAGAACCAGAAAAAAAGGTTATTTACACTGAGGTCTCACCTTTTTTTTTACGGAAAAAACAAACCTGTGAAGAATATCTTCACACCTGTACTTCAGTTTTCTGTAAAATTAGTTAATTATTATGCTGATGAACTTCACAGCTTCATTAAAGAAAATGATTTTAGGATAAAGAAACCTGATTTAAGGACAGCACCTGCAACCTCCTCCCTCACTGTGGTGTGCCAGGGCCAGGGGCTCCAGGGTTAATGGAGCTGTATGTGGGTACTGAGGGCCAGGAGGAGATACAGTAAATCTCCCTGGATTGTACCTCAGCCAGCCAGGGCTTCATCCCAGCAGGATCAGACCCTGCTTTTCCCTGGGCATCCCATCAAGGCAGCACCTGGTTCTCCAGGCAGAAGGGACTCCAGGGGCGCCTGCCCATGGCTGGACCACATTCCAGAGTTTTCATCCCAGTCCCATCCCAGAACCCCCAGCCCAGATGACTGGTTTCTCCCACGAAATCCAAGCTGAACGGGCAGTTCAGTCAGCAGCAGCACAGTCAGCACCATCCCGTTCTATGAGCAGCCTCAGGAGGGAAACCCCAGATGGTGGCTGGTCCCAGCTGCTGTGACAGCAGCTCATCGCCCACACCCCACCCCACGCCTGGTCCTAACCCTTCTCCATCCTTCCCAGCCTCTGCTTCATCTTTTCCAGCCCCTGCTCCATCCTTCCATGCACTGCAGCTTCACAAGGGGACACTTGTACGGGGACAAGCACGAGCGCATCTGCACACACGACAAGCCCAGAGATCAGGGCTTGTTTTAAGCTCCCCAGGATTAACTCCAAGTTGGAAATCCATCTCTCACTCCTCACCGTGGCTCAGTGTCTGCTGCAGCCCAAGGAGAGCAGGTGGCCTGTCAAGCTCTGGGTGTCAGCACAGCAGCTGAGAAACAAGGAGCTGTTGCAGGCTGGGATCCAGATTTTATTGGGAATAGGAGCTACAGCTCCAGGGAGGAAACCCAGTATGTGCAACCAGAGCAAAGACAGAGACAAGCAGGGCCAAGTGCCATTTGTTACAAACCAAGCTTCCCTCGCTCTGATGGCAGCGGACTTGGAAAGTGTTCAGAATCCATCCTTCTTACAAAATTTATAAGGCAAAGCCTTCTGCCTGGCAGACAGCTCTCCAGCTCCCTTCCCTGCTCCTCCCTGGATATTCCCTGCTGAATGGCACAAATCTGCCTTCCAACTGCACAAAGCTGGGTAGAAAACAAGGGAGAGATGGAAATAGCCTCCCTGATCCTGGCTGGGGGTGTGGGGATGGTGGCATGGGATTTTCCTGTGCCTCGACCGTCAATAAATAGAAGCTGTGAGAACAAAATACCTTCTATTTTGTATATGGTATATAGATACCATATATATACCTATCCAGGCAGCAGCTCTTAGGACCCCAGGAAACAAGACAGGATTTATAACCCAGTCTGTGCAATGGACTTGTCCCTTCAAAGCACCCCTTGAACCTCAACAGTGCATGGTAGGTCCACAACCTCGCCACTGGGTATTTAAATAAATTAAAAAAAAATTGTTAGGTGCAGACCATGACTTAAGTAATGTCAAGTGAATAATTCACGCTGGATTTATAATTGATGGGGGATTTAGCAGGAGCAGAGCCATAAGTGGTTTTCTATTAACTATTGATGCTCCCCCCGCCAGGCTCCCGACAAGCACGGCCGGGCTCTGCGATCACAGCTCTGCCCCATGTTTTATTTAAGTGCTGTTAAGAGGACACACACAGTCTGGGGATGCCTCTGCTCCTGGGAAAGTCACAGCAGCCCTTGGCTCTGGTGTGGCCGTGCACACGGAGTCTGTTCTCATGGAGCAGTCACTCTGATCAACCAGCACGGAAAAACTGGGATGGTGTGATGTGCCTGGGGGAGCCCACCCACTGCAGGACTTGCTGGCTCCTTCCTCCTGCAGATACAAGTTCAGCTGTTTATGGAGTTTTGTGTCTTATTTGAGAGGTGCCTCTAAAATCCCTTTCAGACCTCTTTGCACACTTCATTTGGGAGAGCAGGAGAGTGCTAAGAAGTCCAAGTACGTTGCTTCACCCATCACTCACATCCCCATATGAAACATCAAAAAAGCTTCTCCAAATATCGGCACAAACCCAAAAACACAGTGAGAAGAACTCACCTAACAGCCAGCACATCTGTGTTCCAAACACTGTGCTTCCAACAAAGCTGCAAGAAACACCCAGTCAACACAGCAAACACAGCTGTGGCTCCCTCAATCCCGCAGGGAAAGCAGCAGGATCAAGGAACCCTGTGGCCCAAGGAGCCCAGCATGCCTGCAACACTCCAGGGGCACCCAGAACCTCTCACTCCAACACCTCCTGGCTCTGCAGAGCATTGGTGGCTGTACAACTCTGACCTCAATCCATGCCCAGGAAAGGGTGTCCTAGCAGCCGGAGTGGTGTGCCAGCACACAGGGCTCAGCCTGGCAGAGCAAGGACAAAGCCTGTCCCTGGCACAGGCAAGGGATTGGGAATGATTCACATCATTCCCCTCAGGAAGGCTGGCAGCCTCGGGGTGGAATAAATGCTGAAATCTCCTTGATTGTTAAATAAAAGATCATTGATAAGATAACTGCTCCTGATTTGGCCCTGCTGGCAGCAGAACTGCAATATCTTTCAATTACCGCTCGGGAGCAAGGCTTTCCCCTGGATTAGTGGAAGAAACAACATGAAAAGAGACGCTGGTAAAGGGCTGTAAAGTGAAGGTGAATCTATTTTTGCTGCTCTCCAAACCCAGCTGAGGCTCTGCTCTCTCAGAGTGGGTTTAGCTGCTGGTTGGCACCATCTGAGCCACCACCACGGCGCAGGGGGGTGGGTTTGGCAAAGCCAGGAGCGCTGTGAGGAGCTGGCACTGAGCCCTGAGCGCCAGCACACCGAGCCCCATGATCAGCACGTGGCATGCTGGGGACTGGCAGGAGGACAGAGGACTTCCCATCCACTGTGGTTCTGCCTGACATGAGGGAAACCAGCATGAGGAGGTGCAGGAATGACCTGAGCAACTTAGAATCACAGATTCATTCAGGTTAGAAATACCTCTATTATCATCAAATTCAACCATTCTCCCAGCACTGCCAAGGCCACCACTAAACCATGCCCCTAAATGCCACATCTACACGTGAACTGCATTTCTTCAAGTGGAACAGCCAAAGCCAACTCCCTCCCAGAAAAAAAAAAAAAAGTGGAGAAGAGGGACTGCCCAGGCTGCCAACTTAGCCATGGAGAAAGGGAACACGAGGGGCCTCAAGGACAGCTTTGGCTCAATAGTCTGGGGCTGTGGAGGGATATAAAGTGATTCCCTGTTCCTCCAAGCTCTGGAGTAGCCCAAGACCCACAGTGTGCCTTCAGAGGGGTCAGCTCCATCCCCAGACTTAGAGCACACATAGCATCACACAGAAAATACATTTCTGGGGCTCTCAGACCAGTCTGAGGTCACAAAGGGGTACCCTCCATGAGCAGCAATCCCCCCCATGGCCATGGGACTGCCCAAGCCCCCAGGAGCAGCACCCCCTTACCAGCTCCACACGCCGGCGGCTGGACTCCAGCTCCCTCTGCACCAGCTCATCCATGTCAGCTTTCATCTCCTCCATCCTCCTCTGGTAGTACCTGGTGTTCTCCTTCTCCCGCGCCTCCGACTCGGCCGCGTTCTCCAGCTCCTCTCCCATCTTGATGATGCTGTCTCGCAAGCGCAGCACCAGCACCTGGGGTGCCAGGTGAAGAAAGGGGGGTGGAGATGAGGTGTTAGAAAGCTCTCCACAAGCATCAAGCCAGTGTTGACTGTCAATAAACCCCACAGCAAAGCACACAGAGATAACAGCAGTGCCACGAACCATATGGACTGTCTGCAGCTCCCGCCTGGCCCTCCCCACCCCTTCCCAGGTGCTTCCTTCCCCAAAGCCAAGGTGGTGGCAGCATCGCTGTGCCTGCCAATTTACAAGCAAAGGTGAGGAGGGGGTACCTCAAAGCGCTTCATCTGCACAGCCTGGAAGTCCAGCTGGCTCTCCAGGTCCCGGATCCGGGCTTCCTGCCGGCTGACGATGGAGCGCTCGGCCGGGCACTGCTCCAGCTGCGCCGCTCTCGCCTGCACTGCCTGCAGCTGGGTGAGGATGGGCTGAGTTAGCACCTCCCGGCCCCTGGCCATGCAAACACCTCCCCAGACCTCTCCTGGATCCCTCACCAGTCCCCCACACGCATCGGGGGCTTCTCGTAAGCCTGAGGTAACAGCACCACAGCAAAGCGTTGCCTTCACTTCCCAAAGGATTCCCTGCTGTTAAAGCCACACAGTACAGGCCTGACACCAACATGTATTTTTGAATGGAAAACCTGCTGGCAAGTGACACATGTCTGGGTCTCCTTTGCTTTTCTCATCTCACACACTCTTTGAGGACAGCAGGCGTAAAAATTCACAATCTGTGTGGAAAGCTGCCTGGGCCAAGCTGTATCCTCAACTGTTATGCTGAGATCTCCAAAGGAAACTGCCCTTTTAGTGATCCCGCTACAACTTGGGTTCAGATTTTGAATTTGACCTAGAACTACAGGAATTTGCCTTCTTTTATCCAGCCTATCTCTAAAGCACCACCCGCTCCGCCTCGGAGGGAGCGAGTCCTGCTTCTGATTCCTGGGCAGCTTAGCTACGCTCCAATAAAGCACTTAACTTAATGGGATTACTCATGTGTTTAAAATTAAATCCATCACTCCAGGAGGGTTGGCACAGCTGCAGAGGCGAGGGAGTGCAGCACCCACTGGTGTCCACCCAGGGCCAGCCCCGCACTGGGGTCAGCCCCATTCCAGCCACAGCACCAGCAGATCAGGAGGGATAAGTAGGGCTCTGAATCCCAAGAGCCTTGGCATGGAAAGGTTTCTGCAGCTCAAGGCCATTGCTGGCAGAGCCCCACAGCCTGCCCTGGCCCCATCTCATCCCGAGGGCTGTGAGCATCCAGCAGCACCCATGCTGCTCTCGAGAGCACTCACAGCCCATCAGGAGGAGGAGAGGCTCCTGACCACATCACAGAGGAGAAATGGCTTTGTGCCACACTGACAGACATTTGATCTCATTTCAGACCAGAGCATGGTATCCACAGCTGGCACAGATGATGTGCTGGACCCAGACATCATCAGGTACCTGGATGCTCCCACTCCTCAGCTCTGGGTGCCACAGGCTCGGCAGGAATTACCTTCTCCTGCAGGCTCTGCTTTTCTTTCTTCACATCCTCCACCTGTGTCTGCAGCTCCCGGATCTGAGCGATGTCTGTTGCCGACTGTGGAAAGAGAAATTTGGCAGAGGGAGCAGAACCTGGCTCAGAGCAGGGGCCTGGCTCGTGCCACCTCCTACCACCAACACAGTGAGCTACACCTGGACTGCACTGCAAGAGCTTCAGTCTCCCGACCCAGTGCAGCTTTCCTAATTTTTGAAATAAATATTTGCGGATTAGGACAGAAACTGTGTTGTCAAGGTCATCTCCGCCCACAGGGCCCTTTCAGATACAGACTCCTGGATCCATAACACCACTGCCATGGGCACCAGACTGTGAATTGTCAGTCTGGCTGGCCTGCTCCTGTGCCTATGGGAGCCTTGGTGTCCCTCAGGTCCCAGTACAATCCTTTGGGAGAGCCTGACATGGTCTGGATAGAGCACAGGAAGTCCCAGCATGAGAAAGCAGTGAAAGAAAGAATAAAAAAAGGATCCAGAGGGACAGCTGTAGGATTCCACAAATATTGGAACTAAAGCCAAGACTTGAAAAAAGACTCAAAACTACAGTTGAGAGGAGCCAGAGCCATGAGCTGTCCCTTTCTCATCACAACATCGGTGTCCTGAGGTTCCCACCCTGCTGTGCACCCACAGGGATCACAGGCTGCTCTGTGCCAGGCTCAGGGTTTTCCAAGAGCCCTCCCTGGGAGGGAGATGCTGTGCCAGCTCCTACCTGGGCAATCAGAGCCTTGTGCTTTTCCATGAGCTCATTCAGGTCTTCCTGGTCCTCATCGATACGTTTCAGGAGATCAGCTCTCTCGTGCTGCAGCTGGAACAGCTGCTCATCCACCTGCAGGAAGATCCACCGGACCACTGGCTCACACATCCCACAGGGAACTCACCACATCACCCGGGCTGCAGTGTCCTCTGGGACATGCTGCCAACAGCCTCCAACCCACCAGAAAGGCAATGGGAGCTCCTGGTATCCACAGAGCAGAACTGTGGGATGCTGGGCCCTTGTAGTAATTTTATCCACCCATTAAACCACCTGGGGGCTGTTGTTTCCAAACAGTCTGGGTGATGTAGTGGATATCCTCAGAGATTTAGTAAATATGCTCGGACATTTAGTAAATATACTTGGTGATGTAGTAAATATGCTGAGGTGATTTACTAAACACGCTGGTAGTTTCTGATTTAGCAAACCAGCTGCTGATTGCTGCCAAACCCAAGGAAGGGGGACTGTGCCCTCCTACCTCCCCTGCCCTGGCCACATCTCCAGGAACCCACCAGGGTCTTGCTTCTGCTGAGGGTCTCCATCTCCATGTGCAAGTTCTCCAGCTCCAGGGCCGCTGTCTGCTGGTTCCTCTGGGCCTCTGCACACTTTGCTTCACTCTCTTCCAGCTGGGAAAAATTAGGGTTGGGGAATGATCACTGATGATGCTGCCCCACAGCATACAGCCATGCCTATTCCCACTTCCCTGGAGCATTTTTCCCCGGTAAAACACATGGAATCTTGACCTTCTAAACCTGTGCTGCTCTTCAGCCTGTCTGCTCCTGGTTGACAGGGAAAACAAGGCTTCCTTGACAGCTCCCAGCACATCTCACCACAGATTCCAACACTTCTGTCCGTCCTGGTGAGCATGGCAGACAGCCCTCCATAGCACATCCACCCTCTGCCTCCGGGATGTAGAGCTGGGATCATTAATTTGCAAAATTATGTGAATTACATGTAATTCCTGATTAGAGCAATTCATGATTCGGGGGTTTGCAAATGGGCTTTTCATGTGGTGTAAATTGCATTTGCAAATACACATGGAAGATCACATTTATAAATGCTAATTTGCTCTCGGGTTTTACAGCTCAGCCATTAAGATCACAATGATCTTCAATGGGCTGCAAACACCTGGAAGCTGCAGCGTCATCCCGAAAACTCTCCCCTGCCAGGACGGAGGAGTTTACGTAGGTTGGACCTGAACATCCAGTTCCTTTCCCTGCTCCCTGGGGTTTCTTTCTTTTCTTTACAAAAAGGAAAACTGAACCCCTCTGCTCACTGCTCATTTCCTGTGCCTGGTCCTGGTTTCCCTGTGGAGCTCCCGAAAGCAACAGTAGCCACTGCACACCACGGCGAGGGCTTGAGCATTTTAGGCTGTTTTTTCAGGGTTTACTTATGTTTTTTAAACTCTCCCCCTCAAAAAGAGGGAAATCATGAAATGATTATAACTGGAGCAATCCTTAGCTCATTTCCCTCCACTGTGGGAGGTCATTGAGACCTCCCTCTAGAGAGGGCACCAGCAGAAAAATACCCTCTGTGTTTTGCTGGGATGAGTTGAAGACACCAGTTGGATTGATCCCTGGCTTTATGGCCAAGGGCTTTCCCACCCCTGCTCCTCTAGAAGCAGCTGCATCCATGACCAGCCCTGGATCTCTCCTCTGCCATGACCTCACCAAAATTCCTCATATTTTAACCAGAGAGAAACACATCTTCAAGACCTCTCATTAAATACCAGCTTCCAATTCACTTTGCGTAATGGAATTTTCCCACTTGGGAAGAATAAATTGAAGTTCCCCCCCAAAATGCATAATGTATGAACTTCAGAACAACATTAGTTTGCTGTGAACACCATCTGTTAAATACCTGCGTAAAATGGATGCCTCAGCCTTATTAAGAAACAATGCTATACTCCCAGCCATATGGATTTTGATTAACGGAAGTGCAGCATTTTAGCAAAGCTTTTCTCCTTGTGGAGGTCCGTGGGCTGGTGGTAGGATGCACTGGCTTTTGAGAAAGTCGTCATGAATGCCATTAGAAATTGTTTAAATTTAAAGGACAGAATAATCACGTGGCATTTTTAACACATGCAGAGTCTCAGTGTTGGCGGCACAGCAAAAACTCAATATCCCCAAAATTAAGGCTGTTCACTCACTCTGAACACAAGGCAACCCTAAGTCCAACCTGTGCCCGATCCCCACCTTGTCACCCAGCCCAGTCCAGTCATTCCTCGAACCCCTCTGGGGATGGGGACTCCACCACCTCCCTGGGCAGCCCCTTCCAATGCCTGACCATCCTTTCCATGAAGAAATTCTTCCTGATGTCCAATCTGAACCTCCCCTGGTACAGCTTGAAGCCAGTTCCTCTCATCCTGTCCCTTGTTCCCTGGGAGCAGAGCCCTACCCACCTCAGCTACATCCTCCTGTCAGGGAGTTGGAGAGAGCACGAAGGTCCCCCCTGAGTCTCTTTTTCTCCAGGCTGAGCCTCCCCAGCTCTGTCAGCCACTCCTCATAGGACTTTATTCTTTAGATCCTTCACCAACTCCTTTGCCCAAATGCATTGTTCCCCCAGTAAGATGGGGCTGGACACCATGGGAATGGCCACAGTCCCTGGGCAGAGCGAGCATCCCAGAGCATCACTGCTGGTCCCTTGGATCAGCATATGGAAGGGAGCTGAGCACAGGGCCTTCCCCCATTAAGAGTACCAGGGGCTGGGAAAAAACAGGAGTGGTGCAACCTCTCCAGCCCCAAAGTGGGATTTGGGAAACATTGAAGGATTTATGAAGTGCAGCATTACATCATTGGGTCAATAAGAGAGAGCACACGTGACTGCCAAAAATTACCATTCCCACTGCCTGTCCCAGCCATGGCCATCCCCTGCCCTGAATATTCAGATAATGGACACAAGCATTGACATGAACATGGGCATAGACATGGGCATGGCCACGGACACAGATACACTGCTGGCTCCATCAGGCTGAGCTCACCTTCCCCTTCTCCCTCAGCACAGGTGGGAACAGCTGCTCCTCACAGCTGTTATTTATGCAGAACTACCATCCCAATTATATTTGGATGTTGCTGGAATCACTCATGCCTCCCGATTAGTTTGTTTCCCGGGGAAATGTACAGTACAGATTAATTACTGAGCTGTTCTGGAGGACTGGTACTGTTAGCTCAGCCCCTGCTCAGCACTGTGGGATGCATGTCCATGGTCAGCCTGGGGTGGGCAGCCCCGAGGGACCCCTGTCCATGGCAGGGCACTCCGCGGCACCCTGAGCTCACTCTGGGGTTATCCCTGCTCTGGTGGGCACAAGCTGGCACACACCTGTAGCTGCTCATCAGGTGCTCCCTCAGCACCACTGAACACGGGGTATCTCTGCTCAAACTACAGCAAACCCAGTGCAATCCCTGCTCCTGCTCACAGCATCCCTATGGCAACACCGCCCCAACCCAGGGCGTAAGAGACAGAGAGAAACTCCAAACAGAAGGTAATTAACAGGAAAAAAGGGAAAAACACTTAAACACTGTTGACTTAATTATGGGGAAGTGCTCCTTCCGAGGAGCCCTTGAAGTGTGTGAGGCACTGCACCCTGCCTGCGTGGGCGATGCTCGCGGGGTCACCGCTCGCTCTGCATGTGACTCAAAGCAGGAGAGCTGGAAATATTCCCTGTGGCTTCCATGCTCTGCCAAAGGTCCCCACCTGCTTACGCAGGAGCTCCAGCTCCTGGGAGCTGGCTCCGGGCTCCGTGGGGGCCGCCACCAGCAGCTGCACGTCGGCGAGGAGGGCGCGGGTCCGGCGCAGGTCCCGCCGCAGCCGCTTCTCCACGTCGAAGTCACGGTGGCCAATCTGGGGAGGGGACAGAGGGTGTCCTGAGCCCTTCACCTTTATCAGAACCTTTCATCTCACCCCAGGGCATTCCCAACACAACGTAAGAATGTTTTGGTAATGCTGAGGTCATGATGCAAGAACACATTAAATATGTACGTATAAATATTACCATTTTCATAGAATCATAGAATCACAGAATCATGGAATAATTTAGGTTGGAAAAGACCTCCAGGATCATCGAGTCCAACCTTTGACCCATCACCACCTCATCAACTAGACCAGAGCGCTGACTGCCACATCCAGTCACTTCTCGAACACCTCCAGAGATGGTGACTCCATCACCTCTTTCAAATAAAAATAATTTAATAGTTAAACGAAAGGGAGCAAATAAATTTTGTGAACATTAGAACTAGCAGATTCCATCAAAATACCACATTTTTCTCCCCCAAAAAAGAGACGTTCTCTGAAAACATTTGCCCAGCCCTGGTTTCCACCAGCCACATCCCTGCCCAGTGACCATCCCTGTGGCCAGAGGGGCAGCCTGGCCACATGACTGCAGGAAGCACCATAAAAACCCCCACCCTCTATGCCCCCCCCCTCGAGCTGAGAGCAACCATGGTTACAGGGATAAAGGAATTAGAAAAACACCAAACAAACAGGGACATGGTTTCAGCTCTTGATTTCAGCCTAATTGAAGTATAAGAGCATTTTCCATTTAGGCTGTTTTCCACGGCTCTCGCTTCAAACCCCTTCTCCTATTTTCTATTTACTAGCTAAAATGAACTGCATAGATTTGACCTTGTAGCCCAGTTTAGAGCTGGCTGGAATTTGCTGGAACCAGAAATCATTGGCATCTCCATGTTCTTAATTAGTTTTCTGGGTTGGCTGGTTTTTTTCTCTTTTTAATGAACTGTCCTCTGCAAACCAGAGGGCGTTTGGTGCTGTGGCTGGAAGCAGCTGCCCCCTCCCACCGTTGCAGCCCAGGGTTTTAAGTGACAAAGGCAGGATTTCATTTAATAGCTCTGCCAAGGCTGCAGTTGTATCTCACACATACTACAGCAATTCCCAGCTGCACAGTTCCATCTCCCCTTCCCCTCACACTGTGACTGCCCTTGGGGGACTGGGGGATGCCGGGGCAGCACCTGGGGTCAGTCCTGGGGGGAGAAGGTGCCTTTCCTTGTGAGCTCCTGCTGCTTCCTCATCCATCTCAGTTCTCCACCAAATAAGCAAGACATGTTGGACAGTTATAATAATACCCTGCTTTGATGCAGCACGATTTATTGTGACAGTTCCCAAAACATCTTCTAAGCCAGGAGCCGGGGGGATGTTATGGATAAGCCTCATCAGACCACTTTGTGTCTACTTGAAATATACCCACCATTCCAGTGCTGCAAATCTCCCAGATTCATCCCGTTTAATGAACACATGTGACTGCCAGGGCTAGTGAAATGGTGAAATCCAGCTTGTGCCAATGGCCAGAGGACACAGTGCTTAATTACCGTGCCAGGGTGAGTGGCAATGGGACAAGGTTGTGTGAGGGTGGACAGGAAGCTTCGGATAGACCCTCCAGTCTGAGTTCTGGAGAGCCCTGGTGTGCAGCACTGCTGAGATGGTGACTGAACACACAGGGCTGGCGCCATCCTCAGCCCTGGCAGCACCAGGCCCCAGGAAAGGGCCAGCTGGGACCTCACTCAGTCACCAGAGCACTGTGATGGCCTCAGGGCCATGCCAAGGGATGCCCAAGCCAATAAATCTGCTCAAGGAGGCTGCATTCAGCCCCTCACCTGCTGGTTGAATGCAGAGCAGCTGGGTGTGCTATCCCATCACCTGCACCTCAATCGCTGCCACAGACAAATCAGAGAGGGAGAAAGGATTTGTTTAAAAAATGTGGCTGGGATAGAATTCCTCTGCAAAGAGCAGGATTGGATAAACTGCTTTTCTAGGCAGTTAGATGCACTCCAGTGTTAGATGTGGCTACTCTGACTCTCATGAAAACAACAGTAAAAAGCAGATGCCTCCCCCTGCTCAGAAATTCTCCCATACAAAAAGGAACAGTTCCCCTCCACAGGTCCTTAGTGGGACCACGTGGCTCCTGTGTGACCCTTGCAGTTCCAAAGCCCCCAGATCCCAATGCTGCTGCAGCACACACTGCTGCTCTGTTGGATGGCATTTGGGAGAGGTGGTGGACAGGAGCATCCTGGACAGCTGCACGTGCATCAACAACCAGGATATTGCTCCGTCTGCACTTGTGCATTCCCACTCCCATTTTTATTGGCAGTGTTTTTAGCCAGGACACGGCCCATGAAGCAGCCCCTGACACAGGCACCGTCCTCTTACCTGCTCACACAAGGTGCCAATGAGCCCTTCCAGGTCCTGCTTCTCGTGTAGCACCATCTGCTTCTCCTCATACTCCTGTTCCAGCTGCATCTCCAGCTGCCGGAGCTGTGTGTGTGAGAAATCCCAGCCATGCTCAGATCCCAGCCAGCCCTCAGAAGCCCCATGTCCCAGCAGGGCACAGTCACCACCACAGTGGGGACCTGGCACCCCCCAGGAGAGGGGTACATCGAGGTCTCCCACTCCACCCAGCACTGGGAACCAGGAATGGGTTGTGTCCCCTGGAGCACCCTGGCAGTGCAAGTGCAGAAGAGGGGAATTAGTCCAGGAGCCTGCAGGACTTTGGGAGATATAGACAGGATGGCTATTTGAGCCATGCTGCCTGTGAGACACACTCAGACATGGCCAAGGGCTGTCGCTGCAGTTCTGAAATTTGTGTTTGCACCCACTGACCTCATGGCCTTGTGGAAATAGTATTTTCTGTAAATTATCCCCAAACATGAAACACTGGAGTTGGTGCCCTTGGCATGACACTGGAGTTACTAGGAGCAGCGTGTCCATGTTCTGCATCAGACATGGCTCTTGCACACTGTCCCCAGCAGCCCCCCCAGTGTGGCAGGGACTCATGCCTGACCCAAACCCTGACCTGCACACCTGGGATGTGACCAAGGCTCATGTTGGGTTGGTGGTGGGAAGTCAGCACCTCGACACTTCCTGAGGAGGACAGACCCCTGGAATAGCTCCTCCTCTGCACTGAGCACACGGGGAGCTCTGAGGAGCACCCAGCATCATCCCCACACCCAGTGAGGACTTACCCTCTTCTGGCAGGACTGCCGCACGTCCTCCAGCTCCTCGTCCTTGTCCTCCAGCTCCTTCTGGTGGATCTGCTTCATCCGCTCGATCTCCAGCTCCAGCCTCTCGTGAAGCTGAAAGACCCAGTGGTAACACTCAGCCCCAAAGGGGTGGGGATGGTGTTGGTCTGGGCTCGATATGCCCAGTGGGGATGGACACCCCCGGCACACCCAGCCCCACAGTACCTGCTCCAGGTGATCGACAGCAGCCGTTTGTCGCTCCAGCTCCTTCCTCTGCTCAGCAGCACTGCCCTCCAGGTCCCAGAGCTGCTTCTTGAGTGCAGGTACAGCACTGGTGTCCGTGGCACCAGCAGTGCTGAGCTCCTGCACCCGGCTGGCCAGCACGGCCACTCGCTGTGCCAGGCTGGCCACCTCCGCCTCCTTCTGCTGCTCGGCCAGACAGAGCAGGGGGTCAGAGCCCAGACATAGTAGGGGGCCCTAGCACTCACACCCTGCTCTTAGAAACCACAGCATTCCCAACAGCATCATCCGAAACCCCTGGAGCAGCAGCAAGTAGTGGGCAGCCCCTTCCCCACACTGAGAACCCTATCTGCACCATGAGCCCCGAGCACACCTTTCCTTCTTGATCCTGAGCTCACCTTCCCACTCCTGTGGGTGTCCCCACTGTGGGCTCCCCACAGCCCCTGCTGCCTGAGGTGCTGGCAGCAGCCCTGCAGGCTCCACCCAACCCCACAGCCATGCCCCTGCCACTGTCAGGTCAATGATCTGAGGGTCTCAGTGGCACCTGGTGCAGCACCATCCCGTGGGACACAGACTGGCAGCTTCCCACACGTGGGATTGGGGGTAGGGGTGTGAGGAAGAGCACAAGTGACTTCAGTGACAATGGGGGTGGGCCTGGTTAGCTAAATCACGGGATGGGGATCACTTATACACAGCAACAGCCCTTCTTCTAGCAGAGGAGAAAGTTATTTAAACACATCAGGTGCCTCCCAGAACTGCGTTAAAAGAAATTGGAATCAAGTTTCCTGATTGCCTCTGCTCTAATTGCAATTGCTTTGCTTCCAAAGCTGTTCCCAAAACGGGGCATAACGCAGCAAAGTGGGATGACTCTTCTTACCTCCAAGCTCTGCTGAAGTTTACCCATCTCCCAGCGGATGCTGGTGTTCTCCTGGGACAACTTTTCACGGAGGCTCTTCTCAAAGGCAGACTGTCCCAAGGCCTGGGCTAACTGCAGGTCAAACCTGGAGGGGGAGCACCAGTTACCTCTCCCTAGGTCAGGCTGGAAAGTGCTTGGAGCAACATGGGCTAGTTGAAGGTGTCCCTTCCCATGGCAAGGGAGTGGCACGAGATGAGCTTTCAGGTCCCTTCCAACTCAAAACAGTCTCTGTGATTCCATGATAAACTCACACAGCAACAGGATGTAAAACTGGGTTGCACCCAGGTGTGGTGCAACCTCCAGCAGTCAAAACAGACAAAAACACCAGCCCTTCCGGGATCCTCTTACCCACCCTAACCATTCCCCTTCCCCGTCCCTCCTGCTCCAGCACTCCCCAGCCCTCCACGCACTCCCAGCAGCCTTACTTCTTCTGCCTCTTCTCCAGCTCGTGGCTGCGGCTCTGCTGGTCTCTCGCCAGCACCCGCGCGTCCCTCCAGCTCGCAGACAGGCGCCGGCACCGCCGCCCAGCGCTGCTGGGACACCCGCTTGGCCGCCTCGCACGCCGCCCGCGCCTCGCCGAGCTGCGGGGAGGGACGGCCCTGAGACCCCGCGGGACAGCATCCCGCAGGGGAGGCACCCCATGGACCCCGCGGTGCAGACGCGCCCCGCAGAGGAGGGACCCCCAGGGACCCCACTGCACACAAACCCCGGGTAAGATCCCCACCCGGCGCTCAGCCCCATTTAGGTCCCAGGGGATGGTCCGCCCCGAGATTTTTCACTAAATAAGGACAAACCGAGGTGCTCTGAACCCTCAGGATCAGGCAGCCCCCCCTCAAGCGCCTGCAGCATCCCAGCCCTCCTGCTGAGTCAGCGAAGCTGCCCCGGGGCAATGCCTGATCCCATTTCTCTACAAAAAGCAGTGTCTGGATGGAGGGAGAAGAATCCCCCAAGGATTCACATCGTGTTTGGGACACACACACACAGAGCTATTACACGTCAGGGAATGGAGTCATTAAGGAATGACTTTAAATAAGCAAAATCTTGCATTAATGAAGCTTGTAATTCCAAGCTAACTAAAAGCAAATGGGCTGCTTTGCTTTACTCCAGCTCCTAAGACTCAGCTGCTTTGCTTATTACTATTTAATGTACCATGAGCAATCTTCATTTCTTTGTTTCATCCATATAGGAAGTGACCTGACTCCCAGGCACCGCTCAGGAAGCACGTTGGTTTTTCAGGACAAAGCTCAGGAACTGCCAGCTCTTTACATCAGCAGCTCTTTGTGTGACAGATGGTGTGAGCACAGCCCTGTCCAGCTCCCTAACCCAGAACAGCACCAAGACTCACCACCGAGCCTCCCCACCCCGCAGCTCCCACCCTCTGCCCACGCTCACACTTGACCAAGGTGGAATTTTGCCATGTTCTGGTGCAAAAGTGATTTTTGAAGCTTGAAGGAAGTTTTGGGGCATTTATTCTCAAAGCCAGCAGAAAACAAGTGGTGTTCCCTGGTCAGTGGGAGCAGCAGCAACAAGCAGATGTGAAGCTGAGCCTCAGCCCCGCAAAGCTTTGCCTGCCCCAGGAGTAGGGAGAGAACAACTGGCTCTAGCAACAGCCCCACTCCCTGGCGTGACTTGGGGGTCCCTGTCCCCTCCTGGGCTGGCAGCACTTGCCTTTTGCTCGAGCCCTGTCCTGGTGCCCAGCTCGGACTCCAGCCGCTCCTCCAGCTGCACCAGCCGCTTCCGCAGGAACACGATCTCCGTCTGTGCGCAGTCAAACCGCACCTGCCACTCGTCCTCTGCCACAGAGAGAGACCCCGGGGGGCTGGTGGGTGCTTGGGCCTGACCAGCCCCAGTGGCTGTGCCAGGGGTGGATGCAAAAGGACACCACAGCTCCTGGGTAGCACCAACACCAGCACCGAGCTCATAGGGCACAGAGCTGCTTTGTGTGCCCAGGGCTGCCCCAAGCTACATGGAACATGTGCTCTGCCTTAGGCAGAGCATGTGTGCTCATCCTGTCACATCCCACCCCATCCTACCCCATCCCATTCCATGCCATCCCACTTGTGCCTTAGCAGCCTCCTCATCCCACCATACATACTTCAGACACACTCTGAGGTGCTGGGAGTGCTGAGCACTGCCAGGCAGTGCCAGGAGCACCCTGTGGCAGAATCCCTGCTGTCACCCCCAGCCCCATGCCAGAGACAGCACTGCGTGTGACCAAGCTGTCACTGCCAGATCCCACCAGATGAGCCATGTGGGATGATGGGCTGCCAAAATACACTGGGGTGCCAGGGGCAGGGGGAGTGTCACTGACTGGAGTGGCCAAACCTCTGCCCTCTGCTTTGTGGCTCTGCTGACCCCACGGATCAGGCTGGATGCCTGGAGCATGCATCACCTGCAGAGGGACATTCCTACCTCCTCCAGAGCCACTTATCTTCATTTCCCGCAGCTGGACCAGCTGTTGGGCCTCTTCCAGCTGCTTTTCCACTGACTCCAGTTTCTTCTGCACTTGGTCGTGTTTGCTCTGCGGAAACCAAAGGAGGAAGGGAGCAGGTCTACCTGGGTCTAGGGTCCAGCAAGGCTGTGCCAGGAGGAAGGCATTGCCACTGGCATGGCCCAGGGGCTCAGGGCTCTCATACCTGCAGCTCCTGCAGCTCACGGGCACCCCGGAGCCGCTCTGCCCGCTCCCCATCCAGGGCCTGGCAGATGACATCGCCCTTGTACCGCTCGTCCGACAGCTCTGTTGTCAGGTCGATGACCTGGGGGGATGGGGGGTCAGTCTGGGCATGGCTGTGCACACCGGATCAGTGGGGTCAGCCATCCAACATCAACCCCACAGTCTTGAGTGCACTCTGCCTGCCCTTTGGGGAGGGACCAGCACCACCAGTGGGAGCCCAGGATCCCATTTGGCAGCGTCCAGCTGCCTCTGCCAGGCTGCCTGTGCCACACTACCTGCACTGCGCTGCAGCCAGGGCTCATCAGATTTCTCCATTGTTCTATTTGATTACATTAAATTTCCTTTGAAACCAGAAGCAGGTGAATGAAGGGGAGAATTATTAATTCAGAGAATCAATTTCATTTTTCGCAGAGCAGAGGGGCACACGGTCTATCCTGCTCAGCTGGCCGAGCAAGGGGCTGCAGAGGGAGCAGGGCCACAGGAAAACACAAGATTCCAATGCTTCCTTTTCTGCATCTGACAGCATTCTAAGGCACTTCACATTTTGCAGGCAGCAGCTCCTTAGAGTATCTCACAAGTTTAACTCAGTAAGCAAACCCCACAGGTTTCCTGTCCCTGGGGAGTCGATGTTTTTTTGGGTCTGCCCTGAGGCATTCAACTTGATCAGCATTCCCAGCCCTTTACAGAGAGCTTAAACTAAACCATCTTTACTCCCTTCCCATTGAGAAGGAGATTCCAGGCCCTCGGGGCTGTTGGCACCCTTAACCAGAGCTGCAGCCTAGACCCCAGCTCAGCCACGCTGCAGCCCAGTGATCTGGGCAAGCCCAGGGTATTTATAGAAACTTTGGGAGCTTCTTCTCTCCACGATGCTTGGCAAGATCCCAGGCACAATCACACAAGAGCCCTTGCATCAGAGAGCAGAACCCACAAAGGACCAGCAGCTATCTGGGGATTATGGAATCCCAGAATGATTTGAATTGGAAAGTACCCCAAATATATCCAGTGCCAGCCCCTGCCATGGACAGGGACACCTCCTACTAGACCAGGTTGCTCCAAGCCCTGTCTGACACGGCCTCGAACACTTGCAGGGATGGGGCAGCCACAGCTTCTCTGGGCAACCTGCAGTGATGCCAGTCTGGAATGTTGCAGTCGGGCACCACAGCCCATCATGGTTCTGCTCAGAGAACCACTCCCAGATAAGGTCATTGCTGGCAGCCACCACTGCCCACCCCACTGCTGCCCACGGCTCCTCCAGCTGTGGTGGAACTGGTGCTCCTATTCATCCTGATACAGCTTCATTCCCAACCTGGCCAAGCAGGGCTGTGGCAGAGGCACTGGGGACTGTACCAGAGGTTTTTGGAGTTGTATCAGAGGTTCTTGAGGCTGTACCTTGCTCTCCAGCCTCTCTGCAGTCTGCCTGAGCTCACTGCATGCCTGCTCGGATTTTTCCAGCTTCCTTCTCAGCGCCGCCAGCTCCTCCTAGGGAAGATTGGGAAAAAAAACACACATGGAGAGTTCCAGCATCCTTGGTTTATTTATGAAAACCTTGTTTTCTGTTCAAAATAAGTGGAAGAGACATAGCTGCCTTATTAGTAAAATTTACCAGGCAATTTTGAAGGCTGCTCACTGCAAATTGCTGGGACTACAGCTCTTGACATGAATTCCATCGGAGGCAATGTCAGCTTGGGTGTGCATAGAGCACATTTTATGAGAAAGCAGCAAACCTCAAAAGCCTGGGTTGAACAGCCAGAGGCCTGTATTGTGCCCAGGGAGTGTCCCAGGGCCCTGGCAGGTATCACAGCGCAGTGCAAAGGCACAGTGTTGGCTGTGATTCCTTTCCAGGCAGCAGGAGCTGCTCCGTGCAGCCTTGTCCTGCTTTGATGTCCAACACTGAGCACAAGCAGAACGTGCAGAGTCGTGATAAAAACAGGGGTTAACGGGTGATGGGGCCTGATGGATCCCAGGTGGGTTTAGGCAGCTTTTATTTCAGCTGAACCAGCCTGAAAACATCTTGTTAAAACCTCACTCAGGCAACAGGGAGAACAGGACGCCAGGGAAGATTGACTAGGAATTTAGCACTGATCTGCCCCATCCCATCCCTCGGTACACACCTCTTTTGCACGGAGCTGCTCCTCCGCCAGGTTAACACTGAGCAAGGGCCGCACGTGGCTCAGCAACTGCCACCAGGGCCAGTGCCTGACTGCCTGGAAGACCACCAGGTTCTTCTGGATGCAGCGGATGGCGAGGCGCTGGATCTGCGGGGAGACACAGCAGCAGAGACTCTCACCCAGCCAGGAAGGACCAGGCTGGAGGGGGATGAGGTGGCAGAGGAGGTCAGGGGATGGCAGTGTGGCATCTCCAAGCTGCCCACAGGACAGGGCAAAGCGGGTACCCTTCAAAGGAGCTCAAAAGAGCTGTAATTTGGATGCTCTGGGCCATATCCCAGCAGCGCTGATCCGAGTGGGCACAGGTATCCCTAACCAACGGGATGGGTACCTTCAACCTCTTGAACTTCTGGCGGCTGAGGAAGCCCTTGCAAGCAGCCTGGAGCAGGGTCATCTTCTGGGCTATCAGCTTGTCACGTTGCTTCTCCAGTCTGGAGATGACCCCCGGCTTCAGGAACACCTGAGAGCAAGTACAGAGGTTACACACCCCCAGGACAGGGACTGAAACCTCTCCCTCCTCCTGTTTAACAGAAGCATCGACTGTCACAACGTGCAATTCCTCAAAACCCTTCCCTTTGGATGCTACCCGTTCCCTCTAGTGCAGGGATGGATGGATATCTCAGTGGCTTCTGACAGGTCAGACACAGCTATGCACGGGTAACACAGAGACATGCACAGGCAGTGCACAGATACACACAGACAATATAGAGATAAGCACAGGTAGCACACAGACACACACAGTAACACATAGCTGTGCACAAGTAAAACCAGCTACAAATAGGTAACAGCAGCAGTGCGTTAGGATAGCGAGCCACGTTGTTTTCGTTCACTGAACTGGTCACAAACACTGTGTAAATGGTAGAGATCTGCTGATGCCATTGAATTCAGCTCAGTATCAACCTCTGAGTGTTTAAGGTATCTCTGGGTCACTCTGTATCACTGGATACAGGTGCTCACAACTATCGCAGCCCATTTGCATAACACAGCTTTAATAACCCCTGAAGAACACGTGTGAGGCCAGGGGGTGCTCAAAGAGCTGCATTTTAAAGATGCCAAATTGAATCAAAGAACAATCCCAAGGAAACTCGCTCTCTCGAGCTAATGCCATGATTGCTCCACCACCTATTCAATTGCCTCATTAATGTCTGTATTAACTCCCCAACCCAGCAAGCTTCGAAGCCAGTACAAAATCAATGCTCAAAGCAACGGCAAAGCGAACTCCTCCACAACGAGATGTGACCGGGACTGCCATCGTGCTATTGATTAATAACAAGGGTTCCAGAGAAGAGATAATTGCAAACTGTGCTGTGCAGAATAAAAGAAAGTTATTTTGCTCCACAGAGCTGTTTCATGAATTCTTTCTTTACAGACTGCAGAGCTGAAGGCAAGCACTCACAGGAAATTAATTTTTCTTTGAGACCATTACATTTGAGTTCAAACACTGTTGCTGTGACAGCTGCCTGGCTTTGCAATGTGAACCCCAGTCCACTGAACTCATGAACTGTTCAAGCCCCGTTCCCTCCTATGACACATCAATGCCATGAGGGGCTGGATTTTGTTAATCAGGTACAGATTTTATCCAGGGTACTGCTTTCAGATACGAATTAGGAGCCTTCTGTGCTGATTGTTGGTGAGGCTCAGTTTCCCAGCCCACCTGGTGCCATGTCCAGCAGCGAAGGTGAAGCTTTCTTCCCAATTTGGGAAGCTGTGGGCAGCTGGCACGGGGCAGGCTGTGCCCCCCCACACCGAGAGCAATGAGGAAGCAGGGACTGGAGCCACCCTACCTGGCTGCGTCCTATGGCAATGCTCCTCTTCTCCAGATCCAGCGCCTGGAACAGCTCCTCTATAGCCTGTGGAGAAGGAGCACATCGTGGAATTGCTCAGGAAACATTTATACCCTGCCATGAGCCTGCTGAAATGGTGTACAGGGATCCCTGGTCCTCACGGGTGCCCAGTAAGGTGCATCCAGCTTATGGGCACCCTGTAAAGGTACTTCCAGCCCTGCTCTCCTTTCCTCTTCCCAATGCCAAAGCCCACCTTCCCAGTCATAAGTCCTGGTGTAAGGACTTTCTGTCCTGGAGGCTTTTGGTGGGATGAGGGGCAGAGATCTGCAGCTGCATGAAAGTTATTCCCCCTTTTGCTACCATGCCTGGTCTGGAAGGACCCCGATGCCTGGACAGCCCTGGGAGGAGGTGACACAGGGGACAGTGAGAGCCTGTCCCAGTTACAACCAGCTGCACTCAGTGGTCCCCTTCTGCTCACCTCACCAACAGCTTGTCCCATGAAGCTAAAGCAGGTGGAAAAGTACAGAACTTCCCCCGAGCCCACCAGCACAGCACAGAACCCTCACAGGGATTTAAGCAGGAGATTAGTCAAGGGGAGAAGCCTGAACTCAATTACTCTGAGCTTTGGACCGACACAGGAACATAACAGGCAGCAACACCAGACATTCCCCTGGGGCAGCAAACGCTGTCTGTCTGAATGGGTGGTAACAGAAATCCTCCGCTGATACTTCACTCCAGACAGCATCCTCTGGCAGCCTCACACTTCTCCTTCCCAAAGGACAAACCCATGGGATGACTATTTCACCATGGACCCAGGAATACCTTGTGCAGCAGAACTTCACTCCTGGTCTCACCAGCAGCCTTGCAGAGGTGGGATGGAGTACACCAGGGAATGGGGATATGAACCACCACAGGGCATGAAATCCCATGCTGGAGGCAAAGAAGTGCCAGCACTGTGGCTGTGCCCTGCTCCAGAGGCACTGCTGGGACTGGTGTAGGGCTGTGCAGCACGATACCACCCCATCCCCACCTCCATCCCCATTTGATCCCCATCCCACTGCATCCCCACTCCCTCTCCATCCCCCTCTCCATCTCATCCCAATCCCAGCACAAGCACAGGGCCAGTTGTTGCTGCACTGTCACCTCACTGCTGATGAGCATCTCCCCTGCTCCAGTGGTCAGGTTAATGCCTCTTCCCAGGAAGCAGTCCCCAGCCAACAAAACCTTGCAGCAGCAAGCTCCAGGGAGGATGGGATTTTCCAAATCCCCTGCTTACACCCTGCTGACAAGGCACCCTCTGCCTTCAACAGCATTTCAGAGCAATATTGACCTTTTCCAACTGTCAAACTTGTCTTATTAAATCCCGAGGTCTTAACTGCCTTTGCACACGCTGGCAGGCAGTTTGCACAACACAGCACGTGCCCAGCTTTAATTCTTCTCCTCTTAGCTCTTCCCAGCTCGCCCACAGCCTTATTCCAGGGGCTGGGATGGTTCTTCCATGGTTTTGCTACAAATTTATTAGGAAACAAATAAAACTGGTACATCCCCACCTTCCTTCCTGAGCTCTTTTGACTTTCAGGCATTGTGGGACAAGGTGAGCAGCCACCCTGGGCTGTAGGTGATGCCAAATACCCCAGGAGACCCCACGGACCCTGCTCCCTTGGGTTCCTGGGAATGCTGCCTGGCTTGTCCTCAGCCAGCCAGCTTTAAGGGATCCAGGAAGAGGGATGGAGTGCTGTCATGCTGGGCCACAGCAATGCAGAGATTCTGCCCTCAGTTTGTGCCCTGTCCTTCAAACCAGGACAAGCAGGAATCCTCAGCACACAGGATTGTCAAAGCCATTTCCCCTTAAGTATTAAAAAGACACAATAACAGACTGAGTTCTCCAAGTCCTCTCCATGGTGCAATAATGCTCATGAGCACAGCCCACTCCAGGAATTTACTGCCTTGGCAAAAACAGTCCTCAGGGGAGAGACTCTGGGATGCAGAGCTGAGCTCAGCTGCCCTGCCAGGCTACTGGAGGATCCATGTCCCTCCGTGCTTGGGCACCATGGGGAGGGTGAAGAGGAGCAGGAAGCAAAGCCATCCCCCAAATCCAGTGCTGCAGGATGCAGCCCCATGGACAGATCACTCCTGATCCTTGCTAAGGAGCTCTGAGAGCCCAGAGCCCAATCTGTGGGCTAGCCCAGAGACTCCCAGACACGATCACCAATGCTGGTGTGCTGCCCAGAGCTGTGCTGAATGGGGTTTTCTCCTTCTCCCAGTTCCTGAGGGCAGCCTTGTGTTTAGAATCATGGAATCATTTTGGTTGGAAAAGCTCTATAGGATCATCAAGTCCAACTGTTCCCACAGCACTGCCAAGGCCGTCACTAACCCATGTCCCCAAATGCCACATCCACACATCTGTTAAACCCCTCCAAGGATGGTGACTCTATCACTTCCCTGGGCAGCCTATTACAGGTCTTGACAGCTCTTCCAGCGACAGAATTTTTCCCAATATCCAATCAAAGAGCTCCAGGAGTTGCTCCTCATGACAAAGACAGCCCTGATGGCATTGGGGAGGGTTGAAATAGCTCTGGCATCAGCACAGCCCCATGTGGGGGTCTCAGCCTGTGTCCCCCAGCCAGCCCGGCACACACCTTGCTCTCATCTGGCACCTCGTAGGCAGAGGTGTGTTTCTTCATCACCTCCGGAGCCAGGACTTGGAAGCGCCTTCGGAACTGGGTGAGGAGCAGGCGATCCGTGTACCCTGGAGGCAGACAGACATGCTGGGGGCTGCACCACTCCTGGGGCACTGCCACTGGGACACTGGGGAGGGATCTGGTCGGACAGGGCTGTGAAGTGTGGCATGTCCTCCTGTGCAGGTCCCTTTCCCCATGACATTAACTGTGACTGTGGTTGATGCAGGTCCAGCCCAATGCATGGACGCATCCATGCTCCAAGGGGAGCACGGGAGAACCCCATTGGAGCTGCGGCCACCCAGGCAGGAGAGGGGTTGGGAACCCCTGCAAAAAGCAGCAATAAAAATTCGGGGTGTTTCTGAAATGGGTCTGGTAAGAAGCGGGCGATGGGCAGAGCCTGGAAGGGCTGAGGCAGGGGCAGGGTGGCAGTGGCGGGTGGGACGGGCACAGCCCGTGTGGCAGCGGCGGGGCCCGGACGTACCGACGCGGTGCAGGCGCAGGGCGTCCAGGAGCTGGGTCCCCTCCAGCTGGGTCCTCAGGGCCACCACGTCCAGCTGTGGGGCTGCATCGGGTGGTGCAGGGGGACGAGGGACTGGCCCTTCCGACCCCATTCCCGGGAGGAGGCAGTGGACAAAGTGCAGCTGAGACCGTCGGAGAAGGTTGGTGAGGGCGTCCTGTAGGGCAAACAGAGGTCAGTGGGGATGGAGGGGGACAAAGGGGCAGCACATGCTGGCAGTGGGAAATGCTCCCTGTGCACCTGCTGCAATGGGTCTGGGTAGGTGAAGGAGTCACCTCCAAGCCCTTAGGAAGCATATTAGGAACAGCTCTGGTCAGAGAGATGAACACAGGGGTGCTGGTCCTAAGACTCTTCTCTTATTTTCAGTTGATGAGATGCAAAAACTTACCAGGGTACATAGAATCATAGAATGCTTTGGGTTGGAAGGGACTTCAAAGATAATCATGGTTGAGGGACACTGGGTGTAGGGCTTGCCAGGGACAGAGACCCCAAAATTGGCTGGCCAGGGAGTCAGCAGAGCCTGAGCCTCATCTCCGAGAGAGAGTTTGGGCACCTAATTACAGCTGAGAGCAGCAGGAACTTGGCATGTGCCCAGCACTAAGGGGTAGTTTACTGTCTGAGTGCTTAAGAGGATTAAACTGCGGCACAGCAAGGTTCTGTGTAATCTGCTCATGATCTGTTTGCCTGTGATGCTCTCCCTGAGCGACAGCAGCGCTGAGGAAGCTCATGGTCACCCGTGGCCAGAGCAGCATCCCGGGTGAGACACAGCCACAGTGGTCACCCAGCTCCTGGGGCAGCAGGTGACTGATGGGGGGTGCAGGGCTCCTCCAGTAAGAAGGAGTGTGTCCAAGGCAGGGTCTCAGTGCAGGGTCACGATACTTCGTGCCATAAACCCCCCAACCCACAGCCACGAGGGTCCCGACAGCAGCACTCACCGCCTGCAGCTTGATCTGAGCACACACCGACCTCTTCCTCACAGCTGCGAAGCTGCTGGCGAAGGTCTTCCTCAGGCAGGTGTTGCGGTGCAGGGCGGCCTGGGATCGTCCCTCCAGCCCGGCCACGGCGCGGCAGGACAGCGGTGCCCGCGCGCGCGGCTGCACCAGCTCCCTCACGGCGGGGCTGCGGGGATGAGACATGGGATGGGGCACTGGGGTGGGAGACCTTGGCTTCCCAACCCCTTCTACAGGGATGCAACAGCCGGGGCCCCAAATTCAGATTTGTGCTGCTCTGTGGAGTGGAGAAGGGTGCTGAGACGCCCCTCACCCACTTTGCTCCTCTCTGGTCCGGGCACTGAGCTGTTCACTGCTGTAAAACCTCCTCTGAGTTGAAGCACAAAATGAAACAAGCCAGGAGAGTGCAAGCAGAAGGTTAAAATCCCCTGTGTGTGCAGACACCTGCAGCACCTCGGTTCCTTTTCAATTCCAATTTAGTTTTACAAGTTCCTAAAAGCAGTGGGAAAATCTGGGTAGTTGCTGCACAGGGAGCTGGTGATGTCTCATGGCTCTGACATGTGCTGGACCCCCAACAGGCCATGGCCTGGGACATGGACACCTTTCACTAGACCAGATTGCTCCAAACCCCATCCAACCCGGCCTTGAATACTTCCAGGGATGGGGCAGCCATAACTTCTTTTGGCAACCTGTGCCAGAGCCTCCGCACCCTCACAGGGAAGAATTTCTTCCCATCTAACCCTGCCCTCCGTCAGTGGAAAGCAATTCCCCCCCTTGTCCTGTGACACAGACACAATTCTGTGTCTCCCCCTCCATGACCAAAGCCAGGGCAGGTTTGCAATGTCCAGCCCCACCTTCATGGCAGGGTTATCCCCATCCCACTCCTGCGGGCACAGGGCTCACCACTGGCACTGCGAAACCTCCCTGGTACTTACACTGTGGAATGCTGCAGCACCTGGATGGCGTTCTGGGCTGAGAGGTTGAACTTGGCTTTGCTGACCCAGCCCGTGAGGTCGTAGCGCACGGGGTTGGTGCCCAGCTGGTGGGAGATCTCGAAGTGCAGCGCCTGCTCACACCGGCGCATGTGCCCGTCCCCTGCAACAGCGGCAGCAGCCCAGAGAAAGGTCAGATGTTTAATTGGCTGCATTTCTCAAATTTCCAAAGCCAAATGGCAATGCCAGAGGCTGGGCAGCCGAGCTGAGCCCAACTTACCCTCCTGGTCGGGTCCCTTCGTGGCGAAGTAGGAGCAGAGGCGGCTGAAGGCAGTGCTGTCCCCGGAGCCTGGGATCAGCACCTCCTCATCCAGGATCCACAGCAGCCCCCGGCGATCAGCCCCGGGGCTGCCTGGCAGCACCTGTGGCTGCTGAGGGAGACAGCCCTTGGTGCTGGGAAGGGGTAGGAGGGCTGTGGGCTCCAGTCACAGCCACGCCAGCCCACTCTCTCCAACCTGCTCCCACTGTCCAGCTGTGGCCATGAGACCCTCCTAGCCTGATCTATCTCTGTTCATCACCCTGAGCCCTACCCAGTGACAGTGCTCCAGAGGAGGCCATCATCCCGGCTCTGCAGCCAGGCTGGGAGGGGTGACAGGGAGCAGGGCTTGGCCAGGGAGGGTGCTTGTATTTTAAAAAGCCAAAAAATCTCCTGGTGGATGCTGTGCCCTTCCCTGCAACACTCCAGGCTGCTCTGGGACATTCCATAGGGTCCCTCTATGCCCTCTGAACCCACATTGCCCTGTGAAGGAGGATGCAGAGCTCCCATGGTGCCCACGGGGACAGGGTACCTGGGAGCAGCTCAGGTCGATGATGGACAGTGTGGCCAGTGGAGAGTGCTCTGGAAGATCAAAAGACACCTCAACATTTTCCTGGAAAACATCATTTAAAAGCTTGCTTCAGTCATGGTCTGGCATCTGGAAGCCAAGAGGAGATCCACTGCCAGGGGTGTGAAGGAAGGCAGGGATCCAGGGGAGCGGAGCCGCCACTGGAGCTGCCTCTGCTGTGACACAGAGGAATGGCCATGCCTGTCCCTGTGGGCAGGGCTATTGGGACCCCCTCACTCCATGGAATGGTGCTTTGGCTGTGTCAGACTGTGATAATAATTGATGTATTACAACTGATAATTATTTCTTAACAAGAAAGCAGCAAGAAAGCAATCAATTATTTAATTTGCAGCTTGCAGGTGTTGTTTTCCTCCCTCAGCCAAGGGCTGCAGGGCTCATCCCCCTTCCCAACAGCCCCAGCACCACATCTGGGAGGCCCCCAGAGGGGCAGGGGGAGCATGGCCTGAACTGGGGATGCTCAGCAAAAGCCATGGCTTCAGTGTCTCTCCATGGCAACATAGAGAGGATCTGCCAAGGAATATGGGTCTGCAGGCAGAGCAGAAAGCAGCAGGGGAGACCCAGTTTCTCTCTGCCAAAGGCATGTGCCACTGTCATCCCATGTGTGACCCAGCACTGGGAGTGAGCGATCCCAGGGCTCACAGAGCAGTCCTGGGGCTCACAGGGATGTGTCCTGCACTATCCTTAGCCAGCAGGAAAGCCCAGGCAAGAGGAGCCTGCGGAGCCCTCCAGCATTCCAGGCTCAGGCAATTACAGATTCATCACTAGTGAAGGGCACATCTATCCTTACTCGGCGCAGGTGATGTGTGAGTATTAAACCACGGGAATTCAACCATTTTCCCAGGGCTAGAGGCATTAAAGTAACTCCTGCAAGCCTAATAATAAGTTCATCTCTGCTTGTAGGTTTCTCAGCAGCTTATTTCTGCAGCAATTTATCATTTTCTTTTCTATTCTCTATTATTCATCATCTGAGGCAAAAGTCAGCTGTGCCAACAGAAGGGCACAGAGCCTCCTGAGCTGGAGCAAGTATATCATAGAATCCCAGAATGATTTGGGTTGGAAGAGGCCTTAAAAATCACCTAGTTCCAACGCCCCTGCCATGGGGGGTTCCACAAAGACACCAAGAGAGCCTGGCATCTCTGGCACGTCAGAAACAGCCAAGAGGATCCAGGACTGGGGTAGGAGGAAAAGAGAGACACAGCTCAAGCCTACAGTTCTGTACAGACTCCCCACTTCTGTGACACCCCTCCTGTTAAAGCTACTGAGTTATTCACTCACACCATGACAGGGCACAGGGATCCACTGGGCCAAAGGCAGCCCCGTCCCCAGGCACTGGGAAGTTGCTCCCCAGCTGCTCCCAGCCCTTGCTCCTCACCTCTCTGTACCTCTCCATCTCCAGAAGGAAGGTTTTCTCATAGAAGAGCCCCTGCAGCCGCTCCTGCACGTAGTTGTGGCACAGCTCTTCGAAGGTGGCCGCTCGCTCGGCCCGCTGGTGCCGCGGGTTCTGGAAGCCAGGGGTGTCCACCACGGCGATGGAAGCCATGGAGAGGTGCTGGGAGGAGAAGGACCTGGGAAAAGAATGACACACATCACTGGGATTTACCCACAGACAGCAGAAGTGATCCCAACCAGGTACTCATGGTGCCAGGTCTCCGTGCCAGGCTGCCTGTGCCGCAGGAGGGCAGGACACAGGAGGTCCCAAGTGCCAGTGTGCTCTCCCAGACAAAGATTTTCACACAACTTCCTATTTTTCCAGCAGGCAACAGTCACTTGCTTCATTCCTCTCTCCGGAGAGCCCCAGCAAAGATCCCTCCTCAGCAGCCCCTGGAGAAGGGGCTGCCACCCCCCAGCCCCCCAGTGCCCGGCAGTTCTGTACCTGTTGATCAGCGAGACGACAGCAGCAAAGAGCTCCTCGTAGAGCCCCGAGGCCATTCCCTCCACACACTCCACACCCGTCATCTTCGGCCCTGGCACAGGTGGAGGGAAGACCAGGCACAGACACGTCATTTCTTTCCAGCTGAGTTCAGCCAGCACAGAGCTGAGATGGTACTCATGATTGCAACCCACTCTGCTGCCCTCTCAGTTTGCCCCTTTTTATAGGCAGGGCTCTCACAGCGTTTAAGACAAATCACTTATCTAAATTCACCTGATCTTTGTGTGTCCCTAAGGAAAGACAGGCAGGGGCAGCTGGAAAACTGAGGGCAGCACAGTCAACGATTTAATTATTATTAACATACCTAAATGGGCCTCACTGCCTGAGAAGAACGAGGTGCATTGCCTCTCCACGCACACCCTCCACCAGCTCCCGGTGCAGCACCCCGCAATTCCCTATCCCCCAAAATAAAGGGAACAGGGATGCAGCATCCCAGTACCTGCTGGGCTCTCCTCAGCCAGGGGTGGCTGCCGGCCCCGAGCTGTCACCTGTGCCAGGATCTGCTTCAGGTGGTGTTTGAAGACGGCGGTGCTGAGCTCCTCCGGGTCACAGCCCAGCACCTCGGCGGCGCGGCTCGCGCTCTCAAACTTCATGAACTGCTTCCTGCCGACTGGGGAGGGGCACAGGGGCACAAGGGAGTCAGGCAGGGCCAGCACCAGCAGAGCTGGGTGCAGGCTCAATGTCTCCAGCAAACATCCCGCCTGTTCCCATGTGCATCTCCAAAATCAAAATTATTAAGGCCAAGTCCAGGGAGCAGATGAACCCTGCGACCCATCCAGGCTTCCACCAGCCAGGCATCACTGACACCGTGTGTTTCAAGAGTTTCAGTGGAGCAAACCAGCAGATGTGCTGATGGGAACTGATGGGATTACAAAGCAATCCCTTGAAATCCTGGATCACCTTTCTTGGCCCCAGCAGTGTTTGCTGTCCCGGCAGCCCAGGAGCAGCACTCCTCCCCACAGCAGTGGCAGAGCTCCACTTGGTACTTATATCCAGTGATAAGGACTCCAGCTTAATGATTAAAATCAATAGGGAAGTAATCTGCAGGATTAATCCTTTTACAAATCCAGGTGCTGTGGAGGCAGCTGGCCAGCATGTGCTCGGGAACATGGGGAATGAGCAGAAACAGGAGGAGGTAGGCAAAGTTGCCCAGAGACCTCAGGGTAGCACTTTTGGGTGGTGGATGAGAAGCCCGGGGGGTCACAGCTAAGATGGACCCTTAAAACACAGCTGGTGGCTGGTGGCAGGGGAGAGGCTTTGGGATGGAGAGCGAGAGGTGGCACATCCTGGGAAACCCATGGAGGACCTACTCTCAGCCAAGGGGATGCACAAAGCAGGGCTTGAGGGCTGGGTGCTGCTTCACAGCACACCCACAAGAGTCAACCCCCCTTTCCCTTCCCCTTTGATCCTTTCTCAGTATTTTCTATGCTGACTGAAGGACTCCAACATCAAGGGCTGTGCTGGAGCAGGCAGAGGAATTGCCTCAACACTCTCGGCTTTGATTTATTCTGTTTTCACTTGTTCTAATCTGAGCTGGCTGGACAGAGGCTGATTCCTGACAGACAAAAGATTTCTGCCTGCCAGTGAGCGGAGAGGCTGAGGAGCCAGGGCTGCACAGGCCTGCTGTGCCAGCCAGGCTCCCAGAGCTGGCATTCCACACTGGCCACTCCAGCACCCCGAGAAAAATGAGAGGCTCCACTCAGCCCCAGAGGAGCCCAGGCACCATTTCACACTTCATAGACTATAACCAGCAGCAGCATCACACAACCCTCTTGGGTGTAATGTGATGATGGAAAACTCACCAGCTTTAACACATAAAGGGAATTACTTTGGCCCATTTAATATTTAAGAGGAGCAGGAGGAAAACACAGGGTCAGCACCAGCCTTGCCCCGCTCACAGGGACCCCAGCTCAGCCTTTCCTGCAACAGCCTGTCTCTGCATTGCTCCATGCCTTGGTTTCCTGGATCTGAAACAGGGATGTTCCTTCTCCTGCCTCCCAGGGCATGATGCTCCCCTGGTACCACCACCCTCTGCAGGGTCTGGGGGAGCTCAGAGCCTTCCCCACCTGACCAGCAGGTTCCAGACCCCACCTCCTGTGTGGTTTCCTCCCTCTCAGGGGTTCAGGACCCTGGGTTTGCAGCAGCCTCACTGCAGTGACTGGGGGGGGTTGTTCTGACCACAACACAGACCTGCGGTAGCACCAGGAGGATTTGGTGACCTGCAGCTGCTGGAATCACATCACCTCCATTACAGGTGAGGGCTGGGAGCCCTCAGGAAGCCACAGGGCTTTATTTTTATATCAGCCAGCAAAAGGGACAGCTTGAGAGCGAGCTGAACGCCGACCCCTGCTGTGCCCCAAACCTCCCTCCCGCTTAAAGAGGCAGCGAATAAAGGAAAACAGGGGATATCCTGCAGCCCACAAAGGGACTGAAGCACTCAGGTGAATGGTACCCAGGATGCCCCGCTGGCCTCTGGCTTCCAGGCTGCTTTCCCACTAAAAGAGCTGCTCTAACACGTTTCAAAGGCAGCGGGAAGGGCTGACACCAGGATGGAGCAAAGCAGGCTTTTGAAATTCAACCTTTTCTTCTCGGTGTTTTTGTAGCTGCAAATGCATTTTCCACTCTCATCCAGGAAGAGGTGGTGCTGTTCCCTCCTGATTTATTCCTGAACAAACTGAATGTATGAGGAGAGAAGGGGAAAAGGTGCCTTTAACCCACCCTGGGGCCCATTTAACACGTGCCGGGGCCGCCGCGGGGGACGGGGATGGCTCCTGAATGCCGTAAAAAACCAGCACTGAGGTTCCCTTTGGTGAGATTTCAAGGAGAGGATTTTGAATACACAACATCAAAGGGCGTGAAAGGGGAAGGGAAGAGATGGCTATCCTGAGACAGGTTTAACCACATTAAAAGCCGGGTCGCCCCCACTGAGACTTCTGCTCCATCTGGCTTTGATCCATTTTTTATCCATATTTCCTTTCATTTCTCCCCTTTTGTTGACACACGATGGGGGAATCAATACCAGAGTGAGAGACACTGAGACATGCTCTGGTTGTTAATCCCACACCTGAGTGTGCCTGGGAGCCACAGCCCTGTCTGGACCCGTTGTTCCCATTCCTGTTCACGCTGAAAGAATTGCACAGTATTTGTTGGATACAGCGCTCAATTCCCTCCCAGACTTACAGGAGGCTCAGGACAGAATGTGCAGGAAGTCTGAGCAAAGCAGCTCAGCTTCCCCACCACCGTGACCATCCTTCCACCTGCCCTTGAGCTGAGCACTCCCCAAATGAGACGCGCCTCCAAAATTTGCTCTCCTGAAAACTCGCAGGCCAGAAGGGCCTTAATTTTTTTTTTGGCAAAAGCCTTCTCACACACATCAGCCTGAGACCAGGGGGTCATCTTTAGAAGTTGGAAGGGCATTAGGAGATGGAGATGGGGAAAGAGAACACCAGAGAGGAGAAAGAGAACTCTAAGTTATGCCAGCATCCATCCTTTTAAAACAATTAATAAATGATTAATGGCATAGATTACCATAAGATGTGTTATGACATGTTGCAGAGACATTTATAAATGTCTATGGCTTAGTTTATGGCAGCTTTTATGCAGCCCTCATAAACTGAAGTGTGTAAATCAATGTGGCTGCATCTAAAATGGGTTAGAGCACATCCTAAAATAATTTATAAGGGATAAGGCAATTTCTATTTGCCTGTATTAACAAAGTCTTTATAAATACAATCTTCATCCAGACTCAGCCTATTATAATTCAGTTACTGTGGCAGACACTCAAGAGATCATAAAATCAGTGCTACCTGAAGCTGTCCCTTTGCAGTGTCACTGGGGACAACGTGCAAAAGAACAAGTCACCCACCCTAGTCCTTCCCAAGGAGCTGGCACAAGGTGATGTCCTGCAGCCCTGTCCTATCCACATGCAGCTGGGGATCCCCTCCAGAAGCCCCAGCGGGACAGGGGACCAGCACCCCACATCACCCAGCCCCTCCATGGGTGACAAGGAGCTTGGAGCCACCAGAAATGGAACAGCCTTGGGATGAGCATCACCCCCGCACACCTCCCCATGTCCCACACCCCCCAGCACCAAACACCACCAGGACACGTCTCCTCCCCGCTCCAACCCCCAGCCCCGAGATGAGGTGTAAGGGATGGAGAGGCAGGAGCCCCCTCCCCTTTGCAGGAGCCCCCTCACCTTTGCAGGAGCCCCCTCACCTTTGCAGGCACCGGCGGCTCCCAGGTGGTAGATGCCGGCCAGGACGCGCCAGATGGCCGCCTGCTCCTCCGCGGTGATGCCCAGTGTGCCCATGGCAGCCCGGAGCTGGGCAAAGGCTGTTGAGGCTCTCTGCTTCTCCTCAGGCTGCAGGAGGGAAGACATGGGGGGGAACATCACCACCTCTGCCAGAGCATCATGGCATGGGTGGTACACGACAAAAGGGAGCATGGAAACCATCAGGCCAGCAAGGAAAAGGCAATAAGGGACCCTTGCAAACGTTTGGGCAGGTGGAGAAGTCCCCAACAGGTTCCTCAAGAGCCTGGTGTACATTGCCCTGTCATACGAGGACACGTAATTCCCACTTCGAGAGTGTCCACAGAGCAGCAGCTGGAGCTGTTTTATATCACAGAATCCCAGAGTGGTTTGGGTTGGAAGGGACCTTAAAGCTCAGCTCATCCCAACACCCTGCCATGGGCAGGGACATCTTCCACTAGACCAGGTTGCCCAAGGTTCCATCCAACCACATCCCCTCACTTCTCACCAAACACACCTGCCCACAGCTGTGCAGGTCCCAGCCACCAGCAGGACCTGCCATGTCCCACCTCCAGCACTCCTGCACTCCCTGAGCTGAAGTTGCTCTGTGCAGCCCTGGCGCTCCAGGCTCCAGCAGGCAGCATCCCACCTCGGCCAGGACCAGTGGGAAAACCCTCCATGCTGGGATGGGGAACCCACACAAATGGAGGGCTATGAAAAGAGAGTAAAACCCCATCTCTGAACCCAAATGTGCTGTATCAGCAGTGTGAGGACCTCACTGTGCCCTCCTTGGAGCTGCTGCTCCAGCAACTGATTCCCTTGGCTGCTGGACCGGCACAGGAGCTCCCTAATGAAGATGGAATATTGGATTCATTGATAGATGATGTAACTGTAAATTGCTGCAATTCATCCCAGCGCTTTGGCTCTGCAAAAGGCTCAGGCTAATGAGGGCTTGGAGCTGGGAATCAGCTGAGGAGCTTTTAGCCCCTAAAAATCACATTCTGGGCTCCCGAAAGGATACACTTGCTCCCGAGAGCTGCTGCTGCAGGGGAACATCAGGGCAGTGGACCCCAGAGCAGCAGAACCTCTTCCCAACCTGGCTGGGGCATTTCCAAAACCCAAGCACAGGTTCCAGGTAGAGCAGCCCCAGTCCCGACAGCTCCCCTGGGACTGTTAAAGGAGTGCTGAGGGCTGTTTGGGCAGACCCTTCCTCACATCCTGACATTCACTCCCTCCCTCCATGCTTCTAGTACAGAGGCATCATCACGAGTCACTCAGCACCCAAGGACCCCAAGATATCCTCTTACTGGGGGTGACAAAGGGAGTGCACTGCAGCATCCCACTGCAGGTGGACACAGGACTCCAGCATTTCTCTCTCCCTACCTTCGTGAATGGCTTGATCCCAAAGGAATTGCTCTCAGCCAGCTGGTGCAGATGCAGCATCGTCCTGGGAGTAGTTACAAAAAATGAGTCAAGCTCCTTCCTCACCTGCCCCAGTACCACCAATCCCCTGCCCTCCCCCTGGGAGCAGCTCTGGCACCCACAGAGCCCCTTTACAGCACCATCTGAGGGACCTGGGTGGGACAGGTCACCACAGAACTGCTCCATGCAGGGGGACGAGCTGGCACCTGACACACCAGGAGCCTTCACCCAGGGACACACAGCCTGGGGGGAACCAGAGTAAGAGGGAAAGGGATCCCTGTCTCACTTGTCACCTCAATTTCGGCTTTAGTGAAGAGGCAAAAAAGCGCCAGAAAATGCCCCTGTTTCATCAAAAATCTCTAATATAAGTGTATACAGACCCCTGCAGTGTCATTAACACAACAGTGTTAGTCACTGTTGTGACTTTCACAATCTCTTATCAGAGGGGTCTCAAAAATCCCACTAGATGGGGAGAATTTACATATATACAGTGGGGAGCCTCTGGGCAGAGGGTACCCACCAGCTGGACAGCCAGGGGGGAGTGGAGCCGCCTGGTGCCATGGGAGCCTCACACCCACCTCTCTGCCACATCCAGCCCTGCCAGCATCAGGGGGAACACGTTGAAGCTGCTCTCTCCATCAGGCTGCTGGGCAACACGGGCTCTCTCCAGCAGCAAGGTCTGGGGAGGGAACAGAGGGCACTGGAGATGGTAAGGTGCTACTGGGATCTGTCAAGGAGGGGTTGGATTTCTCCTTGCAGGGCCAAGGTTGGATTTGGAGGCTGCTCTTTCTGCCTAGGGCTGTGCAAGCAAATTGGGCCCCACGCATAGAGGGGCAACATTTCAGTCCATGAGTGCAGCACTCAAGGTCCCACCACACCTCCAGAGGTCTGAGCAGTGTGATGGCCCTGGCAAAGATACTGCAGGATCTGGATAAGTCATTGCCTGGGCTTGAAACAAGCTCAGATCAGCTCCAGCCTTGCCAAAATGTTCAGTGCCAGCGCTGACCCCAGAGCTGGGTGTGTGTGTCCCCCGCCAACTGTCCCATCCTCCCGTGAACATCCCAGGATGGTAATAGTGGCACATTCCCACTCCTGCACAAGGACAGCCCTGCCAGTGCCCAGGGCAGAGCAGGGGCAGCAGTGGGAAACCCTGGTGCTCCAGGTCTGTCCTCCCTCAGAGGAGGCCCGGGGGCATAGGCAGCTCTGATTAAAGAGCCTTTGATAAGAGCCCTGATGGTGATAAAAGCCCTCAGAGGTGTCAGCTTGAGGCGGCCGTGTGAGGTGCTGCTAATGAAACACTGAATTATACATTTCCTCATAAACATTTCATCCCAGCACTGCTCCGAGCTCCCTGCCAGGGAGGGGGGTGGGCTGACAGAGCTCCTGCTCAGGTGCCATTTAGGCACCTGTGGTCCAGGAGGAGCAGGGAGTGGAGCAGGGGGCAGAGCATCACTCCTTGCACCCAGCCTGGCCGGGAAGCACAGCACAGGAGTGGTTCGTCCCTACCTCGAGGACCCCCAGTTTCACCCACAGCCCTCCCATCTCACCAGGTGACAGATACCTGGAGATGAGCAGCGGTGATCTGGCCAGTGGCACTGAAATCCAGCGACAGGACCATGGAGAAGCGCGTGGAGCTGCTGTTCTGGCCAGTGGTCACTGACCCAAAGGCTGCCAGGACTGTGAACATTGCCTGGATCTTCTCCACTGCAAAACCAGCACCAGAGCCCCGCTGAGTCCTGCTGCATTCCTGGAGGAGGCATCTCCTCCTGGCTCACCTCTGCCTGCTCCTCCCAGGGGTCTGTCCCAGCACTCGGGAGCTGGCTGGGCATGGGGTCAGCATCCCACACCAGGGGAGCTGGTGCTTGCTGATAGGAAGGGGATGCGCTGTCCTGACCACACCTCCACCCTGGTCCGGGCCATTCGTCAGCCCTTTGCAGGAGCACCGTGTACCCAGAGAGCTCCGAAATCCAACCCTGCCCTCTAAAGCCACTGAGTGCTGAGCAGCACTTCCTCTCACGTCACCAGTAACCTGATCAGGTGGGAAAGTGCTGCCCCAAGCACGGCAATAATTCGAGTAATTCCCTCCTGGTGCTCATGCTGGTGTTTGTCAAAACAGCAAATCCCTTGGGTCTGCGATGGGGACCGTGGTGCTCACAGCCACACCGGCGACAGTGGCAATTGCAGCCACACCGGCCGCTCGGGAGGCACCCCAAGGAGCATGAATTAGGCCAGGAATGGGGAAACCCGAGGCCATTAGACGGAAACAGCATCACCTTTGTGTTTGGGTGCCCCCAGCCTGCGTAATCTCCATGTGTTTCCTCTGCCCAGCACCCAGCACTGTCTCTGTGGGGGCTGCCAGCAGCCCCCTGCCCTGTACCTGAGACTCTGCCGTCCACGCTGCCCGCCGTGCCCACCAGGTACTCCAGGGCACTCTGGCAGCACTTGGTCCTCCCGGCCCCGCTGTGCCCCAGGGGGATGATGGCCTGGTCCTGACGCTGCATCAGCAGGTTCCTGTAGGCTCTGTGTGCCAGCGAGGAGATGTGTGGGGGCAGGCTGTCCCGCTTCCCCCTGGGAGCCTGCGGGCAGGGAGAGAGTGGTAGAGCACAGCCCAAAACCAAACAGGTTTTTGTGGACAAAAACCTGAAGACATTCACACTCAGGGTGATGGGTTTCTCCCCACAGTGAAGAACCCCCCAAGACTGTGTCCCCAAGCATCTCTAGTCGTGAATGTTCTCAGAGCCCCTCCAGACCCGAGCATCCCTGGCCCTCAGGATCTTCAGAGCATCCCCCCTCCCCGAGCATCCCTGGTCCTGAGTGTCCTCAGTGCATCCCTCAGAGCACCCCTGATCTTGAGTGTCTCCAGAGCGTCCTTGGCCCGAGCGTTCCTGGTCCTGAGTGATCTCAGGGCATCCCCAGCCCTGAGCATCCTCAAAGCATCCCCGCCCCGAGCATTCCCGGTTCCGAGTGTCCCCAGAGCAACCCCCTGGTCCCAAGTGTCCCCAGAGCTCCCGCGCTGTGACGTCCCACGTGCCACCTGCCGGCAAACGCCACACCGGCGCCCTCCGCCACTGTCCCCACGGGGGTCAGGATGACGCTTCCCACGGGAGATCCGTGTTCGCACAGTTTCCCGCCCGCTCACCTGTCCCCGCGCCGCCCGGGCGGCGCGCGGGGCCGGCGCGATGGCACCGGCTGGGCCCGCGTTAGGTGGCAGGGCAGGCGGGCACGGAACCGCTGCCGGCAGTGTGTTCAGGCTACGCTGCACTCGTTCGCAGGCCTGATCAGCGCGGCCAGATCCTCGGCCTGATCCAGGCTGGGTGGGTTGGTCTGTGGGAGGAGAGCCAGAGACACCTCGAGCTCTGCTCTCATGGCACAGGCTGTGCCGGACCGCGCTGGCACCCCGACACCTGGGACCCAGCCAGCCTGGGGTGATGGCCTGAGAAGCATCATCGTGCCCAGGCACTGCCCTGCACCAGGGCTCCTGTTCCTGCACCAGCCCAAAATGGGGAGTGGGCTCACCCTCTGCACGCTGTCCTCGTCCACCTCGGTGACGGTGCCGTCCTCGTCCCGGCGCACCCTCACCCTCCCTGCTGGCAGCTCGGGTGTCCCCACATCTGGCTTCAGCTGCGTGGCTGCAATGAGAGGCTAATGAGGCTCTCCAGCCTGGCACAGCTGAGACAGGTCGGGGCAGAGCCCGCTGTGGCATGGGGAGATGCCAAGGGGTCAAATCCAACCATGGCTCCACTGGGGCATGGATGGGCACTGTACCAGCACAGCACCCAGTGCCCACCCTGCTCCCAACACATCTCAGCTCCAGTGCTGGAGAGCGAGGGCAGAGCAAGGCAAGTTACCGAGTGTGAACCCGTCCTGCTGGATGAGCCAGACCTTCTCCGCTTCGTACCAAACGTCCCTCGGAGCCTGCAGGGAGGATAGAGGGGAATTGGGCAAGAGTGGGAGGAAACTGAGCTGAACAAACTGCCTTTGCCCCCTGGACAGCAACACTTCCAGCCAGACCCCCTGGCCCTCTGCTTCCTGCCCGACCAGCCCCAGGTCTGCCTTCCCTCCAGCCCCCGGCTGAGCCCATGGGAATGGGAAGAGCTGCATGAAACCAGAAAATTACATCAGTGCCCCAAAACCCTGAGTAACATCCACGTTACCTGGTCCTTGTCTGTGCTTTCGCCCGATGCCTCTTTGCCCTGGTCCTCAATCATGCTCTTGGTCATCTCTTTGCTCTTTCCAAGTGTTTCTTTAGCCTCATCCTTGTCAGTGCTCTTGTCCATCCCTTTGCTCTCTCTCAGCATCTCTTCACCCTTTCTGAGCTCTTCCTTCACCTTCCTTACCTCCTTTCCCACATCTTTGGACTTCTCTTGGATTCCTCCCGGCTCCCCCTTGAGCTCCTCTGACTTGTTTGTGTTTTTTTCAGGTTTTTTGAATTCCTTTGGCTCCTTCTTGCTACCTCCAACATCTTTCTTCATCTTCTCCAGCTCTTTCTTGGCTGGAAACAGCTCCCTCTGGGCTCTCACCTTGGCTAGGGTCTCCTCGTGCCTTGGGGGTGTCCCCTTCTCCTTCTTGGTGCTCTTGGGGTCTGTCCCCTTGGATGAGTCCCCCTCCTTTGGTGGGACTTTGCTGCCACGCTGGGGGCCCTGGCTGGGGGCAGGGGCTGGAGCTGGGGGGCTGCCCCCTTGCTGGGTGTCCTTGGGGCTCTTCTCAGGGCACAACAGCTTTGCCACCTTGGGAACCTCCAGACGAGGGGTCTCTGCTGGTTTGGGAGGGATCTTCGTTGGTTTGGAGGAAGCCTCTGCTGGTTTTGGGGATGCTGTCTCTGGTTTGCGAGGGGTCTCTGCTGGTTTTGGGGACGTTTCTGCTGGTTTTGGGGATGTTTCTGCTGGTTTTGAGGATGCCACCACTGATTTGCGGGGGATCTCTGCTAGTTTTGGGGTTGTCTCTGCTGGTTTGAGGGCAGCCACTGCCAGGCTGGGTGCAGGGGATGGAGTTTTTCTGGGGATGGTCCCCGGTGCAGCTTTTTCAGGGGGCAGCTCCTTGCATGGGGGGGCTGTGACCCCCTTGCCCCCCTGCCCCTCTACCTTCAGCCCGTTCCGCAGTGGCTCCTCACTGGCCCCCCCTCCTCTGGCAGCTGGGGCGTCCCTGGCTCGGGCCTCACCGTCCTTCCCCACGGGCTGCCAAGCAAAGGAGAGGAGTTGAATCTGACAGGGACAGGGCAAAGAACCCAACCTCAGCCCAGCCCTGGGAGCTGCAACCCCACGTGGTTTGACCATGCCACGTACAGCCCTAGCCCTGTACGGAGCTCTAGCCCCAACCTGCTCTCTCTGGGCACAGCCAATGGCTGTGGGTGGCTTCTTGGACCTGGCTGCAAGGTGGCAATCAGTGGTGGCCTCCTCCTCCCCCTTGGCCACATCCCGACCCTCCACCCGCCACGTTCTGGGTCATTGCTTGGTGCTGTTCCTGGAGACGCCCCACGTGCTCCCCTTCCTGCACTCTTCACTGAACCAGAGAGCCTCACACTCTGCTTAATTACTCACCTTCCAATTAAGCAGGTCAAGAATGGCAAGTTGCATTAAGGAACTCTCCAGCATTAATTGCTCGAGGCTGGGAGCTGGGCAGGGTTGCAGCTTGCTGCAGCCACCACGCTGCAAGCCTGGGCCTCAATGTCCAGCCCAGCTCATGCAAAACACCCTCAGATTCCTGACTCTGGCCAGTGTCACAGGGCCACACAGCCCCTCAGCCCCCAAGGAACTTCTCTGAGCTGGAGACAGCTGGAGACACCCAGGGACACAGGGACAGTGGCCCAGCAGGACACCCTGGTGCAGTGTGGAGTTCACCACCACTCACCTCCTCCTTCCCGCTCGCCTTGCTCTCCTTCCTCTGTCTCGCTGCCTTGGCCTCCTTCTCGGTCTCCCTCACGAGCTGTTTGATGAACCCCCCAGGGATGACCGACAGGAGCAGGGGGGGTGTGGATGGGGGCGGCCCCCGGTCCTCGTCCCGTATCTGTTCACAGGAGCAGAGGTGGGTTACGGGGTGGGCACAGGGACAGGGCACGGCACAGCCCCGTGGGTGCATTAGTGGCAATGGAGCTGGGAACAGCACTCTGCTCTGCTCTGCCAGTGGCTGCAGGCATTGCCCAGGCTCCCAGCGAGGCCACAGGCCACCCGTGGGCACCAGGCTGGTTCGGGTATGCTGTGGCTAGCAGAAGCACTGAGTAGAAAAGCCCAGAGAGAAGCACCTGGATTTCCACAGCCACCGAGGGCTGGTGCAGCAGGAGCCCACGTGCACTGCCATCTCTGCCCCAGCACGGCCACAGGAGGATCTGTCCTGGCTGCAGTGAGTCAAGAAGCAGCTCCAGCGTCACCACGGCCACATGCAGCCCTGCAGGTCCATCCCTATGTGCCAGGCCCCAGGCCAAAACCAGCTCCACTTCCCACAGCTTTCCCAGCCACAGCCCTGCTCAGCAGCACCAGCACCAAACCCTGCGGCCTCAGCCAGGCTCAGACAGGCACCCTTGAGCATCCAACAGCATCCAACCTTGAGCATCCAACAGCAGCAAAATCACCCAAACCAAAACAATCAGGCTGTGAAGGAGCCTGGAGCCAGCAGAGTTGGACACAGCAGGAGCAAAGTGTGCAGGGAGCTGTGGGGATGCAACCCCAGAGGCTGCTGCAGTGCAACCCCCCCCAGGACTGAGCCCCCGGGAAGGCACGAGCACCCAGCCCCGAAACACCACCGGTGCCAGCCCGGACCGAGACTTTCCTTCTGCTCCCAGAGCGCCAGGCGCGAGGAGATGGCCATGGTGGCAGCGAGGCTGGACGGTGCTGTGGGGAGAGACGTGGTGACACGCCAGGCAGAGAGAGAGGAGAGAGTTAGCCAGAGGCTGCTGCTGGCCCCAGGGCTGTGCCACAAGCTATGCCGGGCCGGCAGCACAGTGACCTTGCTGGGGGTTGCCCAACCAGAGCTCACAGCACCGACTGGAGCGTGGCAGCTCGGGCACAAGGGGATGGGTGGTGCGGCAGTGCTGGAGAGTGCACTGCCACCAGCAGGCCGGCCCTCAAGCCCGGAGAGGGCGCAGGCAGCGTGGGGAGGTGGCAGCACAGAGGGTCGGTGGGTGGACCCCCCGGCTCAGGCCGGCGGCCGCGGGAGCCCGGCCGTGCCCCACCGCGGGCTGACCCCGGCTTTCACCTGTCGGGAATCATTCACGCCCCGAGAGCGCCGGGGCTCGCCCGGCCCTGCCGGCGCCCGCATCTCCTTGTACAGTAAAAAGAGCAGGAGCTCCGGAGCGGCCAGGAGCCGGCTCAGGAATGTCGCTTGCGTTCCCGGGCGGCAGCCCCCAGGGCCACGTGCCCTCCGCGACCGGCGCTGCCCCCCACCCTGTCCCCATCACCCAGGGCTCTTTGGCCCCGGGGAGAACCGGCCCCGAGCGGCGCCGGCAGAGCCCGGAAGGTGGCTGTGGCCGGGCACCGTCACCTCCTCGAGTGGACCCTCCGTCCTGCCCTGTACGTGGGGAAACCGAGCACGGAGGGGACCAAGCACAGAGCATGGCACCAACAAAGGCCGGGACCACCATCACCACCACTCTTCTGTCCCCATCCAGGTGCAGGATGTGGCCCCAGTTGTGTCGTGGTCATTTGGGTCTGGTCCCCGTTTGGGACTCGCTCCCACTGCCATCCCGGTAGGTGCCAAGAGCCGAGGCCACTGAGGGATCCCTGACCACCTCCTGCACAGGGCAGGGAGCACCGTCCCCGTCCCCAACCCCTCTCCCATCGCAGCCTCTCCCCAGCTACAGCTCGTGCCTGGAAAGCCGCCACCCGAAGCCCGGGGCTGCCTGCATCGCCATCCATATTCCCAAACTAATAAAATAACCTCCCGGCCGAGGGCCCCACGGCCCCGCGCAACCAGAGAGCCCCCGTCCCGGACCCCGACCGACCCCCCCCCCAGGGCCCCAGAGCCCTCGTTACCTGGCGGGGGCTGCGGGCGCGGGGGCTGTCGCCCTCGCCGGCACCGGGCTCCGCGAGAGAGCGACAAGCGGCGTGCGGGAGCGGCGGAGGGTCAGTCGCACGCCTCCCCCGCCCCGCCGCGGTGGCAGCTGAGGTGACAACACATGTCACTGCTAAAAAACCCGCGGCGGTGGCAACCGGGGCCGCGACTGGGGAGAGGCAGTGGCACAGCGGGGCTCCCCCGTTCCTTGGCCTCTGCACCGGCCGGGACACACGTGTGCCACCCGTGCCTTCCCTGGCACACGTGTCACCCGTGCCCTCCCTGACACGCTGTTTGTGCCTTCCCTGGTGCACACTTTTGCAACCCACAGAAGTGGGAGAACCTCTGTGGCTTGGCATGAGCCCACCCGGGGTGCTCTGCTGCTGCAGGAGTGGACCCCAGGGTGATCCCCAAGACCATGGCTCAGAGCTCCAGCACGGGGCTCCCCAGAGCACCCCAGTTCTCCCCACCAGTCCCCACCCTGAGATGGGGCTGAGCTGGAGAGGGACCTGAGAGAAGAGCTCAAAATAGCCCCTGGCACTAACACCAGCATGGTCAGCACCCAAACAAGGCAGGTGGGAGGGGGTCAGCAGAGTGGACATGTGGTGACCACACAGGACAGAGTGTGACCCCCAGTCAGGGTGCAGAGCCCTGGCTCAGGCCAAGTCCAGCTGCAGAAGTGTAACTCTCCCTCAGGCGCTTGACATCTGACCTGAAAAGGTCCACAGACATGCCCAGGGCATCAGCTGGAAAAGCTCTGTTAATGAGAAAGGAAATGGGATTGTCAGTCTGGACTCACCTGGCAGGACTGACCTGGCAGGAAACTAAGGGTTGCTCCAAGCATCTCACCAGCCCCAATTACACCCAGGAACGGCAGGAGGACACGCGGTTTTGAATGGTCTGTCACATGGTCCCGGATGGCAGTGCAGCCATGGGCAGCCTGTCTGCTCCTGGGGGTCCCTCCAGCACTGGTGGAAAGCCACCATTGGTCACCCATCACCCACCTCCCAGTCCCTGCCAGGGATCCCTGACACAGGGCTGAGGATCACCCCAGGGCCCTCCTGGCACAGCAAGCACCGTCCCACCATCAGGACACAACCAGCATGTCCCTAGGCAGGGGAAATGAGGATAAACACGGTGTGCAGGAATGGGGGTGAGCAAAGGGACTTACCTGTGTGCAGGGCAGTCGGGGTGATGGGGCACAGGGGTCAGTCCAGCAGTGCCCTGTGAGCAGCTGCCCAGTCTGGCACAGCCCGTCCCAGTCCAGCGGGAAGGGGCAGGTGACACTGAAAGAACCAGGCACCAGCACACACGCAAAGGACGGTTTTTATTGGGGTCTGGTCGTAGGAGAGCAGTTGTACTGACCAACACACAGAAGCAGCTTAGCTGTGCCAAAATAATCCGTTAAAAAAATACTGGCGGAAAGAACCAAGTGTGGCACATCCGCCACGACGGGCGAGGGCTGTAAACTCCGAGGACAGTCCGTGAGGAGCCCGAGGGACGTGCCACAGCTCACCCGGCACGGGGACCCTCCTCCCCACAATAAATATGGAAAGAGCCAAGTACATAAAACAAGGAATGATCTCATCGATACAATATCTAAAGTTATTTACAGATCCTGGCTTCGCTTACCATTAATTACACATTTTGGACAGGTTCTCTTTCGATCATTTCCCTCATCATGAGTAGCTGTTCGTGTGAATCTGCTCCTTTTTGTTTTGAAGGACCGAATGAGGCACTGCAAGTGCTCACAAATCCCCTCTCCAAGGATGCTCCTGCTTTATTCTGTTTTTCAGACTCATTTTTATGCGCCATCTCACCTGCTCTCTCCCTTCCTCCGAGGAGAAAATCCCTGCTACAGCCAGGAAAGTCTCTTCCCAGCCCGTACCTCACCCCAGTCCATCTCCTTTTCCAGTCTTGGAACACATTGTGCCAACCAAACCCGGACAAACCCTGACCCTGAACAACCACCTTCCTGCACCTGTCCCCCGGTTTTCTATCAAAGCCCTGCCTGGACACACCTCAGGCCAGCAACACCAGGCTCAGTGCTGTCCCCACTGTGTCCCCTTTTGGGGGGTGACACTAACGAGCCACAATAGCACCAGCACCAGCACAGTCTTACCCGTCATGGGGCTCTACCTCCCTCCAGGAGCAGCTCCAGCTCATGCCAAAATCCAGTGGGATCAGACAGGCATGAGAGGGTGAAATGGGAAAGAAGGCAGGGACTGCTCCAGGGTGAGGCAGGGATCCCTCCCCATGGCAGGAGCACAGCAGGGATCTCTCCTTGGCTCCAGGCAGCCCCTCAGCAAGGAGAGGGTTTCAGCAGCAGAAAAATGCCAGATTTCACCCCAGAGATGTCATGGGGATCAGCCCTGACCACTACAGACCTTCAGCTCCACCACACTGGCAATTAAAAGCATGTGCTGTAATACCTGGAGTATTCCTCAAACCACAGAGGCCATGCTCACAACTGGAATTCTTTTTAGGAAATGGGTTATCTGCTGAATTTGGAGCTATTTCTGTACCTCACCTGGGAAGGAGGTGCCGGGGTTGGCTCTCTACAGATGTACCCAGTGGCAGCAACTCTCACAGTGACACCAGGAGTGGTACCCCCAGCGAGGGGGTCCAGCATGGGGGTCACCCAAGGGATGGTCCCTGCAGGGTCTCGGAGTGCCTGCTCCCTTCCTGGGATGTGACACAGAGCAGGGTCCTGCCCTGGCCCTGATCCCCGACAGACACCACTGCTGCCTCAGCAGGCTCTGGCCTGTTTTTAAGGGTCGAGTGATACCCTCAAACACCAAATCCATCTCCAGTATGTAAATTTTGGTGACTGTGGCTGCCTGCAGCCCATCTCTGCCCTACACCTCAACTGGCCCCCACGCCAAGTTCCCCAGCTCCAGCACCGCTCTGGGCTCTCCCTCTGCTCACTCCTTACCCTCGGAATTAGAGCTGTGCACTTCCCTGAGCTGGTGGCTGAGCTGTATCAAACATTAAGCTGACTCCTTGCCTCAATTTAGGTCACTGATTCTCATTAACCTAGCACAGACTCATATGAATAAACACTTGCTCTTGGAAGGCTGAAAGAGAAGGGGGAAATTTAGAAATATCACATCAAGGGGTCGATCTGCAGGAGCTTTCCTGGTGCTTCTGCATTCATGAGCCACCTCAAGATAGTCCTGACAGAGCCCAGAGTCCCTGTGCCGGGAGACAAGGGTGAGCTGCACATCCTCAGGGAGACTATTCCCACTTTATCATGAAAAACAGAATAAAGCTGGCTGATCCTGCTTGAAAGGAATTGCCACTTCCATACGCATACGGAGCAGAAATTCTGTGGAATGTCAGAAGTTGGAGAAACATGTATTTAATAAATAATATAAAATGCTTTTTCTGTTAAAATAGAATTCTCGGGTTTATACCTACAGAGCATAGCAACCTTTACATAAACAAAATAAAGCTGAGTCTGTGGTGATTAGTTTAACACAAAATAAAAATACAATTTAACAATAGTATTAAAACAGCCAATGTTCCATCCACACAATATGTACACCATGGAATAGAAATCAACAGGAAACAAAAGTAGATTATCTTGAAACTCCTCAGACATTTGGATATACATCTTTTCTCTGTATATTTTAGATATTTTCCTTTTTTTTTTTACAATATTAAAATTAATACTATGCTTTGTCAAAATACGCTTTTCAGGTTTTTTTCTTTAATTTGTAGAACTGACTCATTCCTTATATTAATCAACACAACTAGAATTATTTACTGTCTACTGTACACTTCAAATAGTCCTTCCTCCAGGGATATTCTGGGTG